TTAAAGACAAAAAATATTTCCTTTGATTTAGAAAATTTAAAAGATAGAATTAAGAAAGGGCTATTAACAGTGTAATAATTATCTCAAATAATGTTTCATGTAACAATATGTAAAAAATTTGTCTATTAAAAGTGGTATCTGAATGTGAAAGAAGAAATCCAAAATTTCTTATAAGTTTGAGACTTGATTAAATATATTTGAATAAAAATTAAGAGGATACTAATGTATTTATTTTTGAAGAAGATTAATAAAATATAACTTAAAAATAGATTCCAGCTAATTAAATACTATAAAAACTATGTAATTATATTCAGTTATTCTATAGTTTTATAATTAGGTTTTAATCTAAATTCTAAGCTCTTTGAAGGTAAGAATTATGTAGAAAACATTATTGAGGAATTAATATAAAACATTTTTGAAGAAAAAAAAAATGACTGCAAAGTTATTATTCCTGTAGCAAATATTTTAAAAGTTATTTTTAATTTTAAAATACTAAAGACTATTTATGATAAAAAATAGTCAAGAGTTTATCTCATTTAGACACCTTATTTTATAAATAATTAAAGAAATTAAATTATTGTTAAATGGCTTAAATATGATAAGGATTAAATTGAATATTAAAATAGGGAAATTCAATTATTAGAATTAGTTAATGATTCTGAAAATTGTACAAATATGTTTTGTTATAGTAATTATGTGGATGAATAATTATTATTTATGAAATATTATGATTTAACTTTAGAGGATTTAAATAATATAATAGGTAAAAAAGCTTTAAATCTAAATGATTTGTTGCATATTATAATATAAATTATATTGGCATTAAAAGGACTTCATTGTCGAAAAATAATTCATCGAGATTTAAAACCATAAAACATTATGTTTGAATATCTTAATGAAAATTAAAATATTTTAGATATGAGATGTGTGCTAATTGATTTTGATAGATCTAAGCTACAACGTAATGATTAAAATGCTTCAGCTTCAATCTCAGCAGGTTATGAAGGTACACCTGGTTATTAACCTCCTGAAGGAACTTAAGATGTTTATAATGCATCTTATGATATCTGGTAATTAGGCTATATTATTTAATGTATTTTAATAAGAAATACTAATTCACAATATTCTAAAGCAAAAGATAGACCAATGAAGCAAAATAAATACGCAGAAATATTTAAAAAAGATTAAGAATAACTTTAATAAAATTATCCTTAATTTTCTTCTATTATTATGAAAATGATGAATCATGATCCAAATTTAAGACCGAATTTAGAAGAAATTGAAAATTATTTTTTAAATATTTAATGAAAAACATTATTAATTAATTTTTTATCATATAGAATACTTTTAGTAGACTAACTAAATTTTATGTAATTTATTAAGGAAAAATTCTTAAAGATCTTTCTTTACTGAAAGATCAATAATATTTTTTGTATTTTTGTGCTTAAAAATTATCATAAAGTCTTATTAATAACATTTTAAAGATTAATTTATAAATATAAATTTGAATAAACATCAGATTAATTATAATTCATAATTATGTTACTTAATTCAACCATTATAAGAATACCATCTTATCTATTTTTTTTGTTCTTAAAATGATTTTATGGTTTAATAATAAATCAACTGTTGCTCTTTCCTCTGGTTTCAATTTGACACTATTTATTAAAATTATGAATTACCACATAGAAATGAAATTTTTCATTTCTGCTGAAATTTTGGCTTGAACATTGTCAATATTAAATGAACTAATTTCATTAACCATATCTATAAATTATGTTTTTTGGATAGGATGTTTTCCCATTAAACATTCTGCTGTTAAAATACCAATCGACCATATGTCAGAATCTTTTCCATACATTTCTCCATTCAACCGTTCAGGCTAAATTTTGAATAATATTTTACAGACATATAAACTGCAGTACCCACATAAGTCTTTCTTTGTTGCATAGTTTCTATTGTACCTGAGATACCAAAATCAGTAATTTTGATTTCCCCTTTCTTGTTTACTAATATATTTTATGGTTTAATGTCTCTGTGAATGATTTTCTTTTTATTATGTAAATAATCAATCCCTAAAAGAATTTAATATAAAAGCAAAGCCATAACAGGTTCATTCAGATTTTTAACTTTCTTTATCAAAGAATCTATAGAGCCAACATCCATATATTCCAGAATTATGTGCAAAGTACCAGATTTATAGAATGCACCATAACATTTGACAACATAAGGTGAACTACATTCTAATGCTAATTTTAATTCGTCTGAAAGTTATTTCAAATATTATGGATCTGAAGCAACAGGAATTTTCTAAATGCAAATTTTTAATACTTTCATTGCAAAATATTACCCTGTTACTTAATCTTATACTTTTTCTACTTAACCTGATGCACCCTGACCTAATTACCCAACTGTTACTAAATTTTCAAGTGATAGATTATGAGTAGATTCAGAGAGTGAGAAATCCCATTAATCATGTGTATGTGTAACTTTAAGTCCTTAACCATTTAGACGAAATTCCTTAAGAATGAGAGATCCATTCTCAGAACTAATATTTTAAATAACTAAATACAGATTTAGAACAGGTTAAGCTTATTCTGATTAAAGACTAATCTTTGCAATTTATGGTTTTTTTTTCTTTAAGTCAGGAGTTTGCATTTAGTAAACTTAAATTAATTATATCAAATAATTTTGAAATATTTTCAATATTTACAGAAATATTTTTTTTCTGAATTTTTTATATATTACTGCAATCTATTATTAAGAGGTCTTAAAAATTTTGCTTATTAGAGAATAGAACAAATTACATCAAAAAGTTCTATATAAATATTATAAATTTAGTGTAATTTTTATTATTATAGGAGATAATAATTTATTATTCTCTCAATATTTAAAGATTATATAAATTTCATCGAAAATTTAATCTTTTCAATTAGATTAAAAAGAACAACAATCATTATGATATCATATCGGGTAAAAATAAAAATTAAATAATACTAATAGGAAATATTGTAAAAATATTTAATTTATAATTATAAATAAATCATTTGATTAAAAAAATTCATTAAAATTGAAAATAAATTTTATTAAATCAAAACGCAAGAGAGCCATTGTAGATTTGAGAATAGATGAGGAGTATTTAATGAGGCCGACTAGTAATTTTTGATATAAATATTATTATATTAAAAAAATCATTAAACCATCAAACCATTAAATTTAGCTATGAATCAAAAATATTGCTTTAAATCTTATTTCTCTTAACAATGTACTTAGTTTTGGGATAATACTAAAATAGATAAAACTTAAAAATACATAATGGAAAATCTTTACTATATTTAGACTCCTTTTGAGAGTACACCTTGTAATTTGAGACTGAACAAGAAAAACCTTATAATGGAATAGAATGATGTATAATATAAATATATAGTAAATAGAGATAGTATAGTACAAATGTGGAAAATGCAGGATTGGAATTAATAACAAGTGATTTGAATAATGATTAGGGAGTAAGAATAACAAAGGGAAATTTTACATTTGAGTTTTTCGGTAAAATAAAATCAATATTTGATCAATTGAAGAAAACAAGCATTTAGTTTAACTTTACTTAGAGATATACAATAAAAAAAATGATAGCAAAGGGAACATTCGCTACAGTAATAAATTATAAAATTTTTAGATATATTTAGCGGAGTGCAGATTCACTTAGAATGAGTATGCAGTGAAATGTTTTGAGAAACGACATATTTAAAATGAGAAGGATAAGAAGAATTTAATAAAAGAAATGTCGATACTACGATTAATGAATCATAACTAATTATTGACAATATATGAAGTTTTTGAGAACTCAAGTTATATATATTTTGTATAGGAATTATTGAAAGGAGGCGATTTACATGATTATTTGGAGAGAAGTGAGAAATTGAGTGAATTAAAAGTGTCTCAGATAATTTATAATTTATTGAATGGGATACAATATATGCATTCTCAAGGTGTTCTTCATAGAGATATAAAGCCAGAGAATTTGATTTTGAGATAGAAAAACAATTTAAATGATATAGTGATAGGAGATTTTGGATTGGCTGATTTTTATAAATATGATGGAAATTATTTATATAGAAGATGTGGAACTCCAGGATATGTAGCTCCTGAGATTCTACGTGGATAACCATATGATTATAAGGTCGATATTTATAGTATTGGTGTATTGATGTATATATTAATATCTGGTAAGAGACCATTTGTTGGTAAAAATAATTAATAAACTGTTAAATTGAATGAATTAGGAGATATAAATTATGATGAGATTGATTGTAGTTCAGAAGCATTGTCTTTAATGAAGAAAATGTTAGAATCATAACCAGAAAATAGAATTTCAATAATATCAGCAAAATAACATGCTTTTTTTACAAATAATTAAAATAAAAGAGATAATAATCCTAAATCAAAAGGAACATTAAAATTAGATGTGAAATGTATTCAACAACAGGAACAGTTTTCAGTCTCACCAATCTTAACTTCTAGAACTTTCAATAGAAATTCAATGATTAATAATTTAACTGTTCATACTCCACGATAATTACCGAGATTAAGTCATGATATTAAATCTATAATTAAGACTGAATCAAATGAAATTTATAGATCAACTATATCTCGTTAAAGTTTAAGTAGAGTCACTTTAAGAATAAATAATTAATACACTAATATGTGAATGATTTAATGAATCATATTATGTTTGAAGATTGAATACATTTTTTAAGAAATTCAATTTAATTTATAGTTTTTTTATGATTTTAATTGTAATCACAATTATTCTGGTTTTGATGGTTAACACCAAGGAAAGTAAATAAATTCTTTTCCATGGAAGTTCATAAAATAGAATAATGCAAATATTACTCCAAATGTCCATTCTCGTCTACTTTTATTTTTCTAAAAAAGCAAATTTTGAAGATTTCTACTTCTCTTTAAAAATGCAAGGTTTCACAATAAGGTTTTGGTTTAGGTTCAAATTTCTAAGATGGTTTTAATATCTCTGGTTAATAATAAAATATTGGCTTGATTGTTAATTGCTTAATTTTCATGTAATTCATGTAATTAATTAATTAATTAATTAATTTTTTTATATTTTCGACAATATATGTATTGATATAGATTAATAAAATAATCAAATCACTCGTCATTGATCTTTATTAGGAACAATTGCTAACATTAAGCATAATCCATCTCCTCCTCCAATAACACATTTATTTGATGTATTTGCAAAATCCATAGTATATAAACCTGTTATATTGATAAATAAAATAAAACCTTTATTAAATCCACCTAACTACATAGCTTCTTTATATGATCCTTTTATTCTATCAAACATCTTAAATTCATTAGTTCCATGAGCAACACCTCCAACACAATATCCTTTTCCTTTTCCAAATTAAGATCCATATATAAATGCTCCAGCTGTTTCTACCTTTTCTTCCCATTTTATATTCTCTATCAATTTCTATGTACCCAAATCCCATATTTATAATTATTCACTCATTCTGTTTGCTCCTGTTAAAATTGTACCTTCTCTAATATCTATTGTATCTCCTGCTATTTTTGGACCTACAATACATCCAGATTAAGATTTCTATCTTAAATCCTTTAAGATATCATTTATAAAACTACCCATATGATTATATTCTAATCCCAACCTCCACTGATAACTAAATTTTTATCATAAGGTACAATCTTAACACTGAATAATCTATTATTATGACCAGGTTAAACCCATTATATGGCTTCTAGTGTTGTTTATAATGTTTATGCCTCTATATCATAAATCCTAACCTATAATTACTAAATGATCTATTACTTTGCAATCCTTCCCACAAGTTGCTAATTAATTTTTTAAAGCATCTATACAATAAACTTCATTATCATCTTCTTCTTTAAATTAATAAATAGTAGAATCGGTTTTAACATTTTTATACATTATTGTACCTAATTTAGAGCATCATAATACCATCAGTGTTTGCTGATATTAGGACTTATCTCATTTTAGTTGATTTTTCACTTGAAAACCATCTAACATTATTTTATATATTAAACCTAAGAGAAGTGCAAGGTAATTTCATATTTGATTTAGAACTGAGATATGTATAAAATGCTGTCTTTTCGCCTCAGATTGAATAATATAGTACTTCTAGTGAGATCGTATACACAGACTAATCCATTAGAACATCCAAGAGCCAGCATTATGTCATCTTTATCAAATCGGGAAGAGTGTATTTCAGAATCTGATTTAAAATATCCTTTAAGAAAGAGACGTGATTATGGGTCTTTTATTCTATTTCATCGTTCAAATCATTTACTAAATATTCATATTAAACTTGGCTTTAAGCTCTTGAGTGATGATATCGTTTCTATTGTAATCCATTAATTTTTAATATGAATTTTTTTATCATTTCCACTATTCTCCTATTTTCATATTTACTATTGGATATTATATTTGATGATTATCTATGGAGAAGAAATATTGATTTTACAATCTATTTACAAAAAAATACATTCCAAGGAGAAGAAGTGCTTTTTTAATTTTTCTCATTAGTCATTCAAATACCTATTTATTTGGGAGGATTACAATTCATGTTCTCAAGCAAAAAAGTTGAATGTATTATATACATATTTTTATGCATGTTTGGATTTACAAGTAATGGCTTATTGAAAAATGCATATCATCAACCTAGACCTTATTGGGTAGAAGATGAAATAAATGGGTATATAGAATAATAATGATATTTCAGTATTGGTTGTAATATGGAATTTGGAAAACCATCTGGTCATGCTCAAACTGCAGTCATCATATATTATTCTTACCTTTTTATTCTGTATCCTTCCACCTTCAGATGGAATAAATCGAAAGTGTCTAACAAAGATGATCAAAGTAACAATGATGAAGAACCTTAATTCAAATGTGGATAAATAATATTACTGAATATCTTTGCTTTTATATGCATTTTTTTGACTGGACTCTCTAGAGTATTTTTGGGAGTTCATACTATTGGTTAAGTTACACTGGGATGGATATATGGAATCTATATAGTTTTAAATTATCAACTCTATTGTCATTAATTCTTATTGAAGTACTATTATTAATTATCTCTAGCTACATTAAAAATTAACTGAAAATAAAAAATGAAGAAGAAGTAAAGTTTTAAAGAATGTCAGTTTCTATTTCTGCAATATTTATTCTTTCAATTGTTATTGATGTTACCTTATTGGAATTAAATAGAAGAGTATTTAATTAAAATGAAAATCAAATTAATTAATGGTTATTCAAGATAACTTAATGTAAACATAAAGATGTCGGATATTATACTAAAAATCATACTAATGTTTTATATAATGGTTGTTTCTTACATGGAACATTATTCTCTTTTATCTTTTCTTTTATTTAAGGATGCTTTTTTAGTTAAGGTACTTTCAACTAGTTTGAGTATTCTAATTCTATGGAGAAAAAAACTTTAAATTTTAAGATTTGTAGATTACTATTTTATCTACCAATGTTATTACCTTTACCATTATTGTTAATATAGACATATAATATTTATTTGACATGTTTTTTAATTGTAATATTTGTATTAATATTAGTTCATCCCTGTTGTATTTTTTGAATGTTGGTATCTCACTTTAGTTTATCCAAAATTATTGGAAAAATGCAAATATTAAGTCAAAGGAGAATTTTTAGAATCAAATAAAGATTATTATGAGTAATTATCTTAAAATTGAAGAAATGTAATTGTCTTTTATTTTGATATTAATATTTATGTTGTTAATATTAGCATTCCTGATAATTAATATATACTCCTAATTTACTAAAAAAGTAACAGTTCCAGTTGTAGATACAAATGATACAACAGCTGTTTCTGAAAACATTTAAATTAGAAGTACCAGAATTTATTCAGGTTTCGAATATATAAATGAATATTAGATCCAAATAAAGATGCTTGTATGTGTGATCAAATTATTAATATATGTGATTCTTAATGTTGTTGTGATGTTAGATGTACTGAAGCTTTGATTACAGAATGGACAGATTTAGGGAAATGTTTGAATTCAAATTTAGAAAGTGATTATTATTACCCAGAATGTGGAAATCTTGTAAACGATTTAAATGTCTTTGATGACAAATATCATTTCAATCAAATTAATGATATTTTATGCAGTGCAGTCTAAAGATTACCTTATGCAGGTATATATGCTAATATTGATGATACACAAACATAAACAGCTAATTATATGAGTTTTGATATTGTAAGTGCTGGAAGTATATTATTCACTCTAGCTACCAATCCTCAATATATTGATCCTAAAATTAAATAATATTCTGGAAATCCTGGATATATAAAAGGAAAACCTCTTATGGTTGGAAAATCAAATGGAGATGGTTTCAATCTCATTTGGTATCAATAATTAAGAATTTATGCTTGGTAAAAAAATGGTTATTGCAGTACAGGAACAAGTGATTACAATAATCAAATTTATAAAGTTATCAATTTTGGAGAGGATGTAATAACTTATCTAAATTAGCTTGTCTTAAGTTGTTCCCTTGAATCTACTGTTACTTTAGATAAATACTGTTCTAGTGGAATCAATTATGAAATTATGAAGGCTCTTAAAGACAATTCTGGAGCCTTTTATTATATTGGAAAATGGGGTTCATCAAACAATAATAGAACTAATGACTGGATATAAATTAATACGACATAAATAGAAAATATTACATCCGCATGTACTTTACCTACAGAATAACAACTAACTATTATTTATTAAAAAGTTGGATTTATGGGAGACTTGTAAAATACAATAATTTCAGCCAATCTTACTAATATTCCTATAAAGTAAATTATTAATTTATATAAATCTTTAGTAATGTTGCTGGCTTCAATGTAAATTAAGTACAATTAACTTTAAGAGTTAAATTCATTGAACTTATTGATTCTGAACTAAACCCAAATATTGAAAAATCTTTAAGAGATACCATTACTCCTTATGTTAAAGTAAATTAAGATATTTATATTTTAGAAAATATTTTTGCCTTTCACTTTTTCAAAGAATCTATTCGGATTTGGAGTGATTTTAATTTTCTTCTTCATATGATTATAATATGAGAGAGAGAATTATAAGATTAATTATGATTTTTTATAATTAGATATTTTTTATGATATGGGATATATTAAGTTAGTAGTACGAATTCATTTCAAGCGCATTACTTAAAAAAACAAAATCCATTTCCATCATTTTTTTAATCATTTCCTCCATTTTTACCCTAAATTTAATGGTAGATTCAAATTACCTTCTTATTATTACTTAAACTATTGCTATAAGATGTTCTTTATTTAATTGAAGATTCTTATTAGTTGTTTTGAGATTATTGAATCTAATTATTTTAGTTTGTTGGAGCAAAAGTCATCTGTTTTTCTAATTGCTACTAATTTTGATTTAAAACTAAAGCAAATACTATTGCACCAGTATCAATAAGTTATTATTCATTATCCAAGGCTATCTATAATGATTGAAATACCTGGTAAATCATCTTTAGGTTTTCCATTCTTTTTTGCTACTTTTAATTTAAAACGATCTGAGGAGCCTTACAGTTTTAAAGCTAATAATAATTTAGTTTGAATATTTACAGGGATCTTATAGGTTGATTTGTTCAATAGTAAAATCTATACAGTCCCCAACTGTGAAAATATTGGGTAACTCAAGTACAATTTATTTAAGCTCTTCATCTCCAGGCTTTTAATAATAGATTGCATATTTTTTATTGTATTATGCTTGATTGTTCTAATAATCATGATTAATTTTATAGATACTTCTGAATGATCTTAGGGTCGAAGATTCATATTATAATTAATATAATATTAAAAATATATTTAAGAATTTAGATGTCTTATAGGTAAAGGTTTATGTGAGTAGTGTGTATTATTTTATCATTATTAGTATATTTATTGTTGTGTATTTGAAATTGCTAAAAATAATACAATTATTTAATATAAATGGGTTTGAGATAATTGGATTTTTTTAGAAAATTAAATACTGATATTGGGGACACATCATCATCTCTAGGAGGATTCTTGACCCTTATAGCATTTGCAGTAATCTACTAACATATTTCTTGATAGTTGGTGACTATTTTAACAATAAATGAATGCAGATTGTTTTTTAGCACAGAATTAAACTATCAAACTGTGATTGACAATGACACAGAATAATTTATTAAAGTTCATTTGGATATGATTGTTGGAGCTCCTTGTATGGTGTTGTCATTGGATTAATAGGATGAAGTTGGAGTACACGTAATGGATGTTTCTGGTACATTGAAAAAGATTAGTCTTGATAAAGAAAGACATGTGTTGCCCTCAGTAATTAAACAATAATATTCATATTAAGATTGAAAATAGTGAAAGTCCTAATTATAGAGGGAGTGAGTAAGAATTATAAGATGCAATTGAAGGAATAAATGAAGGAGAGTAATGCTAATTGTAGGGATACTTTTCAGTAAATAAGGTTCCAGGTAATTTCCATGTTAGTTATCATGCTCATCATCATTTAATATAGAGAATACATTAAAGAGATTTATAAACATTTAGAAAATTAAAATTAGATCATTCTATATATGAATTAAGATTCGGTGATATCTCAACATCTTAAAAGATGAGGAAATACCCTAAATCTTTATCAAAATTTTAATCTTCCTGGAAATCAATTGCCAAATCTGCTAATGAAGGAGAGAAATAAGATTACGAATATTATATTAATGCTTTGCCAGTAAGGTTTTATGATGAAAATGAAAGAAATTATTAAACAGTTTATAAATACTCTATTAATGAAGCATAAATGACAAGAACATTTACAGAAATAGATTCAATATACTTTAAATATCAAATAAGCCCAGTCAATATGGTCTATTCAATATAAAAGAAATCAGTCTATCATTTTATTGTTTAATTATTGGCAATTGTAGGAGGAGTCTTTGCAGTTATAGGAATCCTCAATTCAATCGTATAAAAAGCATTTTGAGTTTATTTTTCATAAATATCCACAAACAAGTCAATGTATACAAACTCAAATAATGTTTATATGAATATATACATATAATCATTCATTTATTATACATTTCTGATAACTAACTTGGTTTAGGAGGCCTATAATTACTTTATTGTGTCTCTAAAACAACATCATCAAAATCGCTAGTCTAATATTTTTTTGTTATATCTTTTGATTATTTTCTACTTTTTTCAGGTGTTTTAGATTTAGCTATTTCTTTTAATGATCCTCCTTTCATTATAACTGTTGGTATTGGTTACATAAGAGCTTCATTTTCTATGCATTCCTCATCATGTATTGAAAAAGGAGAAATAAACATACCATTTTACTTTTATATTGGAGATAATATCTTCAGAACTGATGAATGCTTTCTTGAAAGATGATTTGAACTATTTATCGTATTATTATGATTTTATTCTTCCACTGTAAAATATTAATGTTACAAAATCGATTTTGAATCTATTCTTAATGTTGGATCAATCTATAACATTTTTTTCAATAAATCTATAGCTTATTTTGGAATCTTAGCATTTCCCTTTAACATATCAAAATTATTATTGCATTTAGCATTATTTTCTAAAATCTCTTCATGATTAGAGCCTTAAAATAAATCATTAGATGTCAACCTAATACATAATATTTAGTTTTACATCTTATAAAAAATAACTCCTAATGAGAAGATGTCACATTTTTCATTGTATTCATTAATCTTTGTATCCAAATTCAATATTTCAGGAGCAACATAACCAGGTGTACCACATTTAGATTTACCAGAATCTCTTGTTGTCAAACCAAAATCAATTATTCTCAATTAATATATACAATCGCTAAACATTATATTCTCTGGTTTCAAATCTCTATGCATATAACCATTTTCATGCATAAAATTTACGGCTGTAACTAATTATTTAAATATTATATGGATGTCTTCATTATTCAATTCTTTTAATATATCAGTGAATTCAAGATCATAATATTACATTACCATATAATATTATACATCTCCTTCATATACTTCTAATAGTTCAGCAATATTTTGATGCTTCAAAGCAACCATCGCTTATATTTCATCAAACAATCCTTACTAAAAAATTAACTATATTTATTACTCTACCAATCTTTTCATGAACTTAAACTTTGTCTAAACATTTACAAGCAAAATATTCAAGGCTGTTTAATTTGCTTTGTAATAAATAAACATTAGAGAAAGTTCCTTGGCCAATTTACTATAAGGGATTATATAAGGTATTTATCCCTTTAAACACTACTCTACCTCCCAAAATTTATTTTAATTTGATCAAATTTTCACTGTCCGCATAATACCAATGATGCTTATCGGTTATAAATCCAATGGCTTGGATTTATTTTCTCTTGACTTTAAAATCAACAAATAAATTATAATTTATGTCCAATTCATTGCTTGTATTTGGCTCGTCTGAAATGTTCGTTATTATAATTTTATTTGAAATAATTTATATTATGTATTATTTATTCCCTAATAATTTGTGCCTAAAGCATTCCATTTTGAAGTCAGATTCCATCTTTAGTTATTTCCAATTAAATTTAAAAATTATTTATACAAGTAATTTTGTTTTACGAATCTATAAAATGCTATAGTTGATATTAATACTTTATTAAAAATTAGTTAATACTAGTTATTTATTTAATATATTTTAAACTTTTAATAAGAAGATTTAAACATAAATAAAGAATTTAATCAAAGAGGATTGTCATTATAATGGTTGAAGAGATCTGTCATTATTTTTTCAGAAAATGGCTTAATTCTATTGAGTGAACATTTTAAATATTCTTCGTTAACTTTTGTATGGAACGATAAAAACTTTGTATTTAAACCTCCTTATTTATAAAATATTATGTCAGCAGCAATTTTTATTGTTATTGCTATTTAAAGGTTTATCGTTAACTTGCCAATTAAATAAACTAATTGTTTTTTCAAAGTTTCACATACTCTTGAAACCTATTCATCGAAACCCATTTTTTAACATACATGTGAGAATTTAAGGTTTTGTTATTGCTCAATATATTTTATGACGTATTCAATTTTTTTATCCATTATAGGCAATTTTCTATTTAATTCTTTGAGACAGTAAAATATTACTCCTTTTGCTGAAGTAACTGTATTTTATAAAGGAATTGTTTAAATTATTCTGATTGCTTTCTTTTCGATTTCATAATCCAAATTCATTTTAAAAATTAAATGCTGAACTTCTTCTATCAATGACATTTCCATCTTTGGAGTTAAACATTCATCATTAAATTTTGGGACTGGAGGTCTTTGATTAGTCATAAGTAATTTAATTATTGAATAATCTATAATACATTTAAGTTTTTAATTGATGACTCAATTATTAATGTACAATTGCATTCTGCATTATTTAATATATAAAAAAAAATTTATATATAATGAAAAATATTTGTTTGACACAATCATCATTTATTTCATCATTAATCATAAGCTTCATTCTTGAAATTTCTTAAATCTATCTAAAATAAATAAATTTCAATAAAAATTATAACTATAAACAATTTAAAACAATCCTCAAATNTATTTGGCTCGTCTGAAATGTTCGTTATTATAATTTTATTTGAAATAATTTATATTATGTATTATTTATTCCCTAATAATTTGTGCCTAAAGCATTCCATTTTGAAGTCAGATTCCATCTTTAGTTATTTCCAATTAAATTTAAAAATTATTTATACAAGTAATTTTGTTTTACGAATCTATAAAATGCTATAGTTGATATTAATACTTTATTAAAAATTAGTTAATACTAGTTATTTATTTAATATATTTTAAACTTTTAATAAGAAGATTTAAACATAAATAAAGAATTTAATCAAAGAGGATTGTCATTATAATGGTTGAAGAGATCTGTCATTATTTTTTCAGAAAATGGCTTAATTCTATTGAGTGAACATTTTAAATATTCTTCGTTAACTTTTGTATGGAACGATAAAAACTTTGTATTTAAACCTCCTTATTTATAAAATATTATGTCAGCAGCAATTTTTATTGTTATTGCTATTTAAAGGTTTATCGTTAACTTGCCAATTAAATAAACTAATTGTTTTTTCAAAGTTTCACATACTCTTGAAACCTATTCATCGAAACCCATTTTTTAACATACATGTGAGAATTTAAGGTTTTGTTATTGCTCAATATATTTTATGACGTATTCAATTTTTTTATCCATTATAGGCAATTTTCTATTTAATTCTTTGAGACAGTAAAATATTACTCCTTTTGCTGAAGTAACTGTATTTTATAAAGGAATTGTTTAAATTATTCTGATTGCTTTCTTTTCGATTTCATAATCCAAATTCATTTTAAAAATTAAATGCTGAACTTCTTCTATCAATGACATTTCCATCTTTGGAGTTAAACATTCATCATTAAATTTTGGGACTGGAGGTCTTTGATTAGTCATAAGTAATTTAATTATTGAATAATCTATAATACATTTAAGTTTTTAATTGATGACTCAATTATTAATGTACAATTGCATTCTGCATTATTTAATATATAAAAAAAAATTTATATATAATGAAAAATATTTGTTTGACACAATCATCATTTATTTCATCATTAATCATAAGCTTCATTCTTGAAATTTCTTAAATCTATCTAAAATAAATAAATTTCAATAAAAATTATAACTATAAACAATTTAAAACAATCCTCAAATTTACAAATATTTTGCACATCTGATTACATATACAATATTAGAAGGTTAAAATAAATGTAATTTATACGAAAAAAACTTGAATTATCTGAATTTTAATTAGATAAATATTTTGAAAAGCAGAGTTTAAATAAAATCAAAATTCTCATAAAATAATATTTTCACATAATTGAGCAGCTTTCACAACAACAGCATTTTTTTGTTTAGGTTTTTTAAATTCTATTTGTTCCATATAACTAATTTTTTTCATAGTCTATCTCCCATTTCATTATTCTTTATCCATCATTAGTAATCAAATATCCACGATCTCTTATCCAATTACAGTAATAAAATGTTTATTACATTTCATTATTCAAGAGATGCCCAGAGTCTTATTAAATTGATTATAAATCATAAATAATTATTTCTTTCTCTGTTGATACAAATAAGCATTTTTCACTTAAATTAATTAAGGATAATACACATCCAGTTTGAAGAGATAAGGTTTATTTAATTTCAAGTTTAATCCCTGGTTCTTTTTATAAATGAGAAATGTGCAAAATCAAAATCTCATTTAATTTTTATCCATTTACTACAATTTAAGTATCATTCAATAATTCTACATGCTGTGCTATGTAATCTAATTTTAGATAAGAGCTTTAAAATAATTAAAAATAAATACAATTTATTGCTAAATAAAAATCTAACACTTAATATTCTAGAACTATCAGAAGTTATCAGCAATTAATTGTATTTATCAAAAAAAATTAAATTAATTTATGCTGTATGATCTTTTAATGTATTTAATACTTTAAAACTTTTGTCAAATTGCAATACTTAAACTTCCCCATTTCCAAGACCAATTAAAATATTAGCTTCTCTCATTTAGCATACTATGTTAATTTATTATGATGAAGATGGTAAACTAAAAGATTGACACATCTCATCATCTAATACTTATATTGTATTATTTTCAAATAATCCTATAATTTTTTTTGGTTATTCTGTAAAACATACACATTTTAAATCTAAATAGAATTATGATATAAATAATACTTTATATTTATTTTTTTAAAATTGTTTAGCCTTCAAAGTTAATTTAAATAAAATAATTGTCACTAAAAACGATTATACTTTGATCATCTGCAATTTATCCTTTAGTAATTTCATTTAATTCTTAACAAAAAATCTAATTTATTTTTCTGAGTTTAATTGTTTGACATTTATTGGTAATAGTTTTTTCATAAGGAATTTGTAAAGCATAATGTTTTTCTCTGTTTTAAAGACTTCCTCCTTAATTTTAATTTTATTCTAAACTTCCATTATTTTTTTCTGAGCCATTAAGACAATTAAGGGCTTATTACCAAGTAAATCGAGATTTTTCATCATAATTTAACATTCCAGTCAATAATTCCTTAATTTTTTCATGATAAATTTTTTGTAAAATATTTGGAATTTTATTTTGTTTTACATCATTTAGTCCAGCAATATCTTAATCTTATAACAATAAATAAGTTTAAATAAGTGTAATTCCTAAAGAAAATACATCTGATTTTTCTAAATTATGTCTTTAATTATTATAAAATATTACTTTACATCATTATATTAACCATTAATGTAAGCTTCCCATAATTTTGGTGATAAATAAAGTGGTGTTCCAACAAGGGTATTTTTAAAATTATTTTTAAAGTGTTCTAATGCTTTACTAACACCAAAATCAGCTATTCTTGCTATAATTTTTTCATTTTCTTTATCATACAGGATGTTTTCTGGTTTAATATCTCTATGATAGAGATCTTTTTATTATAAAAATAGAAATGCTTGTAATAATTGATTAACAATATTTAAAAAGCTTATTTCTACAAATTTTGAATGCAAAAATACCACTAAATGTTTTTCTGCTTGCTTTAATTTCATCTTCTTTTAAATCTTTTAAACTACCTTTAGCTAATTTCATTTGAAACACTAAAAAATATTTTTAAACTGGAATAGTTTCAGACCATGCATATATTTTATCAAAATAGATTATATTAGGATGAATATTAATTTATCTATTCAATTAAACTTCTTTTAAAGCTTAATCATATGATTTTTTACTAAAATAAAAAAGATTTTACTTAATACACTAAACTATTTTGACAGCACAGGTTTAAGAAGGATTGGATTTCAATGTCATTTTATATACTTATCCATAAGATCCAGATCCTAAGAGTATTTGATTAACAGTATCAAAATCATTTTGATAATCTTCTGCATTTGGGAAACATAACGCGTCAATACTATCTCCTTCTTTTTTACTCATAATAAATATATAAAAATATTAAAAAATATTATGAATAATAAAGTTCGGATAGGTATTATGTCAACAGCCGAGATCGCACATAAAGTGTGTTAGGCAATAGAGAGTTCTGAATTTGCTGAAGTATATTGTGTAGCTAGTAGATCTCTAGAAAAAGCTACATAATGGGCAAATGCACATAATATAAAAATAGCTTATGGTTCATATGATGAATTATTAAATGATCCAAATGTTGATGGTGTTTATATACCATTACCAACTTCATTAAAGAAAGAGTGGACAATAAAGGCAGCTAATAAGAAAAAACATGTATTAGTTGAAAAACCATTACCTGGTGCTGACTCTTCGAAATGCTTAGAAGAAATGATAAAAAGTTGTGAAGATAATGGAGTGTAATTTTTAGATGGAACAATGTGGTTACATTCTATTAGAACATAAGTTGTTAGATAGAAAATACAGGAATTAGGAAATGTATCTAAAGTCACAGCTGGTTTGACTTTTAAAGCTCCTAATGAAGAATGGTTATAAGGAGGGAATGGAAGAACAAATAAAAATTAAGAACCTTAAGGTTGTTTAGGTGATTAGGGATGGTATCCTATTGGAGCAATTCTTTTTGCATTTAATTATGAATTACCAAAATTTGTTTAGTGTCTATAATTTAAATTAAATAAGGTTGATACAATAATAGAATTTTCTGGATTCTTAGAATTTTCAAATGAAAGATATGCATATTTTGATTGTGGAGTAACTTCTCCTCATAGATCTTTTGTAGATATAGTTTGTGAAAATGGATAAGTTAGAATAGATGATTTAGTTGGAGGATTTGGTAGAACAGGAAATTTCAATGCTTATTTTGAAAATTTTGTTGGAAGTGATAGATTCTTTGTTGATGATTTATAAGGAAAAGAAGAAATTATTAAAGTAGAAGCTTGCAACCATACAGTTAAAATGATTGATACATTTGCTAATATTATTTAATCAAAAAAGACTGATCATTCTTGGCATCACAAAAGTTTCACCACTCATACAGTTCTAGCAGCATTGTTTAGAGCTACCTAAAGAGTTGGAGAAAAAGTAATAGTCTAATAATGATGAGACTTAATAAATATATATTAAATAAATCAATAATGGTTATACAATTATTTTCTTTCATATTCAAAGTAATTATTATTCGTTTTAAATTCTGATACACTTAATCTTTCTTAACTTTATAGAAGTTTCACCTTCCTTAAATGTTATTTACATTCTATCACAAATTCTTTACATTCCTTTTTAAAGGTTTTTAGCTTTTATTAATTAATAGTTAGTCTATTCAGCATTCCAAAAAATTTTATTTATTTTCCATTCAAACATAACAATTTATAAATCTCAAATAAATCAAATCTCTATTAATTATCTTTATTATTTAATTCAATAAGTAATTCTTTCAAATAATCTATTTAATGACTTTAAAATTATTCAAGATCTTTTAATATAAGCTCAAAACAAAAATCTAATTTTGGGCATTTCTATCCCTCAATTATTCTTAATCCCATTGAACAAATGTTTTATATTACATATAATTCAATTATTGGAATTCCACTTGATGAATAATGACATACTCTTTTCAAATATGTATAGTACAATTATAACATTTATTAATATGAAAGAGGTTCTCTTATAATGTGTCTCTCTGTTTATTATTTCTCTGAATAACTTTAAAAACAATCCATTCTCTTAGTATGTAATTTTTACTATTTTGACTCTGTTTAAAAATGAGCATGATTTATATCTGATTATTATTAAGAAGATTTCAAAGATGAAAATTAAATACTTTTTGCAAAAGTACTTGAAGAACTCATTTCAGTTGATAACCTTTCCATTATAAAACTATTATTCAAGACATTTGTAATCCAATAAATATTACATTCTTAAAATACTTAAACAATAAGGCTTTTTTTTTGAATCATATAGTGAAATACACAAAGTAATTTTATAACTTATTCTGGAAACACTATTTTTGTCACGTCTGATTTAGATAAATAATTAAAGACGTTTTGAATACCTAAACAATATTTAAAAGTCATTAACCTGCTTTCTCTAATTAAACTGCACTATCAGCAAGATTAATATTGTTCGCATTTAGAATTTTTAAGATTGTTTGATTAATCATTAAGAACTTTATTATTAATTATTAAAATTAGATTATTATAAATATAATTATTTGAAAATAAATCAAAGTAAAATTTTTTATTAAACTTGAATTCAAAAGATTCAAAAAAACTCTAAATTTCATAATTTTTAAACCACTTACTATCAATAAACTTTTTCAATTTAAATTTGTTATTTCTCTCATAATAATAAATTAATTAATTGATCTTGGTTATATGGATTTTCATCCAATGTTAATTTTTTTCATTCACAAAGTAATCATTAAACTATTAAAATTACTATTTAAATTGATTATATTTTTATTTTTTATTATTTGTAAATGTAAATGGTTGATCATGCTATCCAAATGATTAATATCAACTCATAAGAAAAGATATTAATAAAAATATAAAAATTGTTAATTTGTAATAGACTTGATGATACAACAAAAACATTATAAGAAATAAAACATTCAAAAATGATATTAATTACACTAGAAGTGATACATATAAGGTTGCCAAAATTAAAAAAATAAAAATTAATTAAAATCTGAGGAGCAAAAATTAAAATATTAGATTAAAATCTTAATTTATGCAAAAAGAAGACTAGACTAAGATATTTATAAGAATATAAATAATATAAAAAGCTAAATGTTATTCTCTTTAAATTAAAAAGAGAATTTAAATAATAAGTAAAAAAAAATTGTAAATATGAAATTTGAATAGATTAATTTTAAAGTAGTACTTTAATTTATGATATATATTCAATTTTGCATCGAAAATTTATCGCCATATTAAGCTTTAAGATTAATATTGAGCATTTTTAATCTTTCTTTTTTTACTTCAATTGGTTCTTGATTATTTTGAAAGTTTTTAACATAAGGTGATTTGTGAACCATTCCTGGCAAAAGAATCTTGCTGCCAAAATATGGCATAGACTTTTAATTTTTTTTACCACTCATGACTCTCTCAAATCTTTATTATTAATATTCTTAATGAAGTTTTTTAAGTTTCCTAAGACTAACTGAATTTTACAAATCTCCAGAACTTTTGTTGACACTTTCTCTACCGCTGTCTAAATCCAAAGATCTGTTAACATATTTTCCTAAGGCAGATTTTCTAGAAGAACTTGGAGGACGATAAGATGGAGGTCTATTTAATCTAGTTGTATATCTTTGAGCCATTCGATATTTAAGTGGATTATCTATTAAATTATAATTCCTATTGTTTAAATTTGAATTTTAGGTTTTAGGAGATTTTTAAAATTAACCCATTTATAAAACAGGAGGTAATTTAAGATGAGATTTTTATTTTTAATGCCTATTATATATTATATAGAAATACCTTTAAACAATATGAGTTTATCCTCCTGTAATTTAATAGTAAGGAGAATCAACTCCAGGTAAACTAGGAACTTTTTTAGGTCCATTTTAATAACTAGATTTAGATTTTGCACTTTGAACATGTTTAGTTTATTATTATTAATGAATTTAAGTTCTTAATTATCTAACTTATTCATCTTAAATTGTTTCTTAATATCTTCTTCTTTTTTCTTAAATTTGAAGTTCAACATTTTCCTAATTGATTATTGTTATAATAATTACTATTTTAAGTTCTCCTTATTTGATGATTCCTTACAAATAGTTTTTTTAATTTAAATCTTGAATTTATAAAACTTATTTTGAGATATCAACTTTTCTAATGTCATATTCAAGTAATTATTGTTTCATATCATCTTCGCTTTGTTTTAGAATAGCTTTTTATGTTTTAGCGTTATCTATTTTTTCTAATAATTTCATTTAATCNAATATAAATAATATAAAAAGCTAAATGTTATTCTCTTTAAATTAAAAAGAGAATTTAAATAATAAGTAAAAAAAAATTGTAAATATGAAATTTGAATAGATTAATTTTAAAGTAGTACTTTAATTTATGATATATATTCAATTTTGCATCGAAAATTTATCGCCATATTAAGCTTTAAGATTAATATTGAGCATTTTTAATCTTTCTTTTTTTACTTCAATTGGTTCTTGATTATTTTGAAAGTTTTTAACATAAGGTGATTTGTGAACCATTCCTGGCAAAAGAATCTTGCTGCCAAAATATGGCATAGACTTTTAATTTTTTTTACCACTCATGACTCTCTCAAATCTTTATTATTAATATTCTTAATGAAGTTTTTTAAGTTTCCTAAGACTAACTGAATTTTACAAATCTCCAGAACTTTTGTTGACACTTTCTCTACCGCTGTCTAAATCCAAAGATCTGTTAACATATTTTCCTAAGGCAGATTTTCTAGAAGAACTTGGAGGACGATAAGATGGAGGTCTATTTAATCTAGTTGTATATCTTTGAGCCATTCGATATTTAAGTGGATTATCTATTAAATTATAATTCCTATTGTTTAAATTTGAATTTTAGGTTTTAGGAGATTTTTAAAATTAACCCATTTATAAAACAGGAGGTAATTTAAGATGAGATTTTTATTTTTAATGCCTATTATATATTATATAGAAATACCTTTAAACAATATGAGTTTATCCTCCTGTAATTTAATAGTAAGGAGAATCAACTCCAGGTAAACTAGGAACTTTTTTAGGTCCATTTTAATAACTAGATTTAGATTTTGCACTTTGAACATGTTTAGTTTATTATTATTAATGAATTTAAGTTCTTAATTATCTAACTTATTCATCTTAAATTGTTTCTTAATATCTTCTTCTTTTTTCTTAAATTTGAAGTTCAACATTTTCCTAATTGATTATTGTTATAATAATTACTATTTTAAGTTCTCCTTATTTGATGATTCCTTACAAATAGTTTTTTTAATTTAAATCTTGAATTTATAAAACTTATTTTGAGATATCAACTTTTCTAATGTCATATTCAAGTAATTATTGTTTCATATCATCTTCGCTTTGTTTTAGAATAGCTTTTTATGTTTTAGCGTTATCTATTTTTTCTAATAATTTCATTTAATCAAACTTATCTTAAGTACGACCTTTTTAATATTATAGGAAACCAATATTTTATTAGTAATGATTTTATTATTGTTCCATATCATATAATTTATTTTTAGCTTCAATAATATCAGAAATATTTTAATTAATAATAGATTCTAATTCATTGACCTATTACTTCAAGCTTAATTAGGGGACAGAAATAGTTTTTTAAGTAATAGAAGGTAATCCTATTATATAGATTTATTTAAATACTTGATTAAGGTGTAATGGAGTTTAACTATTATTGTTGAATCAACAATTTAAGTTCTTCATTTTCTTATCGCAGATTTTGAATGAGTTATGCATAATTACTGATATGATTTTATGCAACTAAAACATTTCTATTTGCAACAGTTTTAATATTCTTGGCTCTATTAGCATAGACTAAAGTATTATAGGTTTCTTCAAAACTAGAAACAGAAGGTGTAACATTAGAAATCATAACAGTTCTACAATTTCCACCTAATGAATCTTTTAATAGTCTAGTTAATTTAGAATTTCTAAAAGGAATGAATGGATTTTTGATTCCTTTTTCATTCGCTTCTGATAATGATTGAATGCAGTTTCCTAAAACCAATAATGATTTATTAATATTAGCGCCTTCAACCATTCTTTAACCTCTATTATTTGTATTTGCTGCTCTTTCACTCCCAGCCAAATCTACTAAACTAAATTTACTTTAAATAATTTATTCTTATAATCCAGCAGCTTTATCTTTACATTATACTTGTATTTATAATATTGCATGAGATCTAGAAGATTCTTTATTTGCATCTGTTGCTTCTTTAGATCTATTTCTATTGCCAACCTTTAAAAGTGATAACACTTCATTAACTGTTTTAACATCAATTTCAATAACACCTGCTATTTATATACCATTATTTTTATCTTCTCTAATTTCTAAATTTTTATCTTCTGATGTCAATAAATCTCTAATATTCTCATTATAGATTTCAACATATGAAATCTTAAATTATGTGTCTTTAAATCTATCTGACTAAGAATAATTAAATAAAGATTGTAATGCTCTTGGCATTAAACCTACTTCTTATGGTGTTCCTATCATTCTATTGTAAATTCTATTATTTATACGTAAATGTCTTCCCAGAACCTGTTGCACCATAACAAAACACTGTTGTATTGAAACCTTCCAATACTCCTTCCAATAAAAACTCTGTTGTGTTTTCATATATCTTCTATTATGGCGTCCATTAATCAAATACAAAGTCAAATGCAAAGTTTGTTTCTTTCAATCTATTTTTTCTTAATAACTATTATATATTATATCAAATATACATCATCATCTCTTTCTGATTCTGGATCCATCAATACTATCATTTTACCATCTAATATTCTTATTGTTTCAAACTCTGATACACTTCTCTCCTTCTAGTTTAAAGGTCTAACTCTTATTGCTACCTAATTTATTAAAATACCAAATACTAAAATATTGCTAGATCCATTTTTTAATTCTTCCAAAAATTTCTTTGTTTCATTCTCAAATTAATGCATTTTAAGATAGTGTATTATATATATTAATAAAATAATTAGATAATAAATAAATTATCACTATCAAAAACATTAAGAAATCATTATCTATAAACTATATAATTTTTATTTTAATAATATCAATCAACTTTTCCAAAATGGGAAATTGTTAACAGTGCAATAATATTGGTCCAGTTAATTAGACAGCAGAAATTAGAACAAAATTAACTATATTAACTAAGTCTAAACAAACTCTTAATTTTGAAAATAAGTTTACTCCTCAAAATATATAAGGAGTTATTAAAATACAGGCTCTATTTAAAGGATATATGGCTAGAAAGTACTACTATAATGAAAAATTTGTATTAGATAATTTTCTATTCTATCCACATAACAAAAGCATAGTTCACCAATTTTAAATCATGAAATTTTTGGATTTGATTCTCTCAGTAACAATAATGATTCACCAAATTTGCCTTAGTCTTTATTAATCAAAAAAAACATGATATAAGATAATTTATTAGATGAAGAATAGACAAATAAAAAATTAGCTGAAGTTAATAAAAAAACTTAATATAATTGTTAAAAAGATATTCCTGATAATGAAAGTTAGGTTTCAGAATTTAGCCATGCATCAAGTCTAAAAAAATAATTCTCTTTTGATATGAATAGTCTTTGTTTTATTCCAAAAAGCAAAAACGATTAATTATTGATTTAAACTGAATAATAAATAAAACTACCAATAATCTAAATGATTAATGGAGCTTTCTATGAAGGCTAATGGAAGAATGGAAAAGCAAATGGTTTTGGTAAATATATATTAACAGACACTTCATCTTATGTTGGAGAATGGGTTAATAATAAAGCCAACGGTTTTGGTACATTTTAATTACAAGATGGAGAATATTTTAGAGGATTTTGGATTGAAAATACAGTTGAAGGATAAGGTAAATATACGTTTGCAGATGGAACCTTTTATGAAGGAGAATGGAAAAATGATTTACCAAATGGTATTGGAATTTAAACTTATTCTAATGGTTGGAAATTTCAAGGTATAAATATTAAATATCTAAGAAAGGAAGTTTTTTAAATGGAATCAAAAATGGATAAGGATTATTACAATTTCCAGATGGATCTATTTATTAAGGATTCTTTGAAAGAGATGTTCCATCAGGAATAGGTACTCTTAAATTTTAAGATGGAAGAAATTATGTTGGAGATTGGAAAAATGGACAAAAAAATGGAAAAGGAATATTTTAATGGCCAGATGGATCTAAATATGATGGATATTATGTTAATGATGAAAGAGAAGGTTATGGAATTCTTTTTTGGCCAAATGGTTAAAAATATCTTGGTTTATGGAAATAAGGATTATTTCATGGAAATGGATAACTTATTAAACCTAATGGTACTTCTATCAGAGGTAAATGGATCAAAGGAAAAAGAATTCAATCTAAATTAAATACTAATGTATCAGGAAAAACTAAAACTTCTTAAATTGATTGAATGTTTATGTCATTATTACTCATTTATAGATTTTATTTGTTTATAACTATTCTTTTAATATATATAATATAGATTATATCATTTTTTTATAGTATTTTATTTCTATTCTAAAGTCTTCATAAAATATGTTTGATTGTGTTTATAATACAGTGAAACATTAGTTTTATTTTCTGATACAAAATAATAAGCCCAAAGACAATTTCCAAAGAATTATTTACCACACAATTAACCTAATTTTGTTTGTAAAAACTATTCTATTTATTTTTTCATAACATTGTCATGTGGAATGCTTTTAAATCTAATCCATGCTTTATTATTCTGATATGATCTCAAAGCCCCATCTAGACTATTCTAAATAATATTTTATATGTATTTTTTCATCACACGTGCGATGTTTTTAGGGATATTTTTAGTTTCTCCTGGCTTTCTTCTTTAAGGCTAAATTCTAACTATTTATCTCTTCAATCTAAGAACATTCTCATTTTAAATAATCTTTTGATCTAGATCATCAATAGAATTGATTATCTCAGAATTTATTGAGTGATCTGAAAGATAATTTTAAATTTAAATATCTCCAAAACCTTGCCTACTTTGATCTTAAGCATTATCTTCACTATAGAATGAGTCCAATACATCATTTAAAATTCTCATTATGACTTAAATATAATTTAAATTATTTTTTTAAAGATTTAAATAAATTGTAAAATATAAATTAATAATTAACGATTAAAATAAATCATGATATTTTTAGAATGATTGAATATATTATAAATTAAATAATATTAAATTAGAGAAATTTAAATTCAAATTAGGAATTTTAGAATTAAGAGAAAGCTATATATATATAATAAATAGTTGTATTCATACTAATAATTCATGAATAAATCTTTCAGTTAATGCATTTACTTGCAATCTTGTTTACTTAATTAAATTATCAAGAAGTTAAGAGGATTCAAAAGGTAAATCATTTGTGTATTACTTTGCCTTTTTAGGTTCCCTTCCCAATATTAAATTATTTAATGGAAAATCTTTTTTATTTAGCACTTTATCAATAATATTATTTTCTAAGTTTATTAAGTCTGATAATTCTAATATTTAAGCATTATGTTCAACAAATAAAGTTGTGAAAGTTGAAATTTATGGTAGCATTTATTCTAATTCTTTCATGTCTTTTTCAATGTTTTAATATCCAGTTAATTACTTTTCCAAATTATAAATTTGTTCTTATTATTTATAATATTCAGGTCTTATCATATCTAATTGACTTTTAAGTGATCTCATGATTTCATCATTTTCCTTATCTTTATATTCTAATTGTTTCTAACTCTCTTTTAATTACCCTAAACAAAAATATATAATACTTCGTTAATAAAGTAATTTAATCATTCATACTAATCATCTATAAACTTAACTTAGTATTTTAACTTTATTCAAATCTAAGTTATTCATTTAAATGATTATTCTATATTTATAATTACTAGTTCAATTTTATTAATGTTCCTTTATCTCTTTCGCTTAAATTAAATCCTTCTATTATTGACTAAACATGATAATGAGAATATTAGTACATTTGCCCTTCCTTTTTTTGGAGAACTTTCACCTTTTTTACTTCTAGCTGTTATAGTAGGATTTCTACTATTACTATCTGATGAAAACATGTCAAATAAATTTTGAGTAGATGGTTATAAGGACATCAAATTAGGATATGCACTTTTCCTTTCTTTTTTTTCAGTAACCTAAATTTAAGTTATTGTAGATTAATACAAAATTTTATAAATCACCCTTCCATTTTTAATTATCTAATATTTTCTAAATATTTTTTTTTTCAGATATCCTCTCAGTTTAATCACCCTTGTTTTAACTAATCTTTTTCTTTTTTTATTTATCCTAATTAAACTGTTATTATCTTTATTAAAGGATTTCTTCCAATTTTTTTAGTAATGTTTAAGGTTTTATTTATTGACCACTTTCTTATTTTTAAGAGTTTTGATTAACACTTGATGATCGATAAGTTTTAGAGTAAGAAGAAGTTGGATATTTTTAAAGCAAATTTTCATAATCCATTTAACGAATTATATATTATTATTCATTCATTAATTATATAAACTTTTGTTATTATTATTTTTTTTAATTATAATATATAAACTATAATACTAATGTAGAATAATCAACATATCTAACTTTAATCAGAAATAACTCCAACCCCAAATGAAGGATAATTATCTTAAGTGGTTTATCCATCGCTTCAGAATTAACAAATATAAATTGGGTAACCTATATAATTACCAATTCCACCATAATAAATTATTCATCAAGTGCCTTATCAATAATAACCATATACCTCCTCTGAATAGGCAGTTTACAACCCTTAAACTATTTTAACAAGTAAATTCAAATTATATTAAAGTTTAACCTATATATACTAAATATCCAAGTATAATAACTTGTATTTACTGCTAAAAATAAGTGTAAACAGTTGTAAATTATGAACCAGGCACTGGTACTTACTTAGTTGGAGGTATATTAGCAGCTTTAGGACTTTGGTTGGGGTATATCTAAATTTAAATTTAAAGTTGCTGTTTAATACCGTGTTTCATATAAGATTGTAAAGATGCTATACATTTTTGTCCATCATGTCAGGCAAATGTTGGAAAGAAGAGATTTATTTTTGATTGATTAAATATATATTATGGAATGGATAGATTCAATTCTCATTTTATTTTATTTCCTAATTATGAATATTTATGAAAATTTTAAATATATTTTATATAGTTTTAGAGTCTTAATTTGTTATATATACTATTTTTAATTTATTCAAATTAGTTAAAATAACAGTAAATTTTAAATATTTGTAAATATATATTTGTTTTATTTTGATAAAAACTCTATGAGTTAGTTATGTTGATTTGAGAATCTTAAATCTATGTTTTTTAAATTCTAATAATTTGTAAAAACAGATAACCTTAAAATAATTTAATATATATTTTATTTGAATCACCTGCATTCAATTTTAACTTGGAATAAGAACTGAAAGCAGGAGAAAAAGAAGATTTCGCTTTTTTGTTTGTGTTCAACCAAAATAGAGACTTTAATCAATTATCCTCATTTTTTATAGTTATTCTTAGTGTGTGAAAAATATTGAAAAATATGATTAATGAAAAATTGAGAAAATAGCTTTAAAATAGGCCCACAAAAGTCCTCTGTGCTGTGTGGGAAGACAAAATTCCTATTTATGCTCCTTATTAAAAATAACATTTAACACATTATTTTCATTTAAGCAGTTTTTAGAAGAGTTCTAAAAAAAAAAAGAATGTTAGAAACCTTAAATTATGTCCATCTTAATCTGATAGGAGATAAAACAGCTGATTAGTATTGATAAGTAATAAATTAATTTTAATTTATTTTTCAATTATATAAATTTTAATAATTATTGATCAAAAATTAAAATAACTTTATATCTTAGGTTCTAGATTTTTTAATGAAAGATAAAATGAGCTAATTTAAATAATTATAATAATAATGTAGTAATTTAATATTCAAAATCAATTTAACATGCTGAATCCACACTATAATTTATGAAAAAATTATTCAAAATGATGAAAATAAATTTGAAAATTTAAAGCAGTTATGCTTGAATATTAAAAAAAAGATAATTTAATTATATTAAACTACAATTAACCTGATTCCATTAATTTAACCTGAATAAAAATATATCGGGATTTATTTGCAATATCTTTTAGAATCATTTTTGTAATTTATATACTTTAAGAGGTATCTATTAATGCTCAAACAATATTTCTTGATAGTATACCTCTTACAATTATAATTATTATAGTATTAATAATGGATTTTTTTATAAGAATCAACGCACATCAATATATAAATGGATAAACTTTTAGAGATGGATGGAGATTGATAGTTTTATAAATTTAAAGATAATTTTTCATTGATATCAGTATTAATGGTATTTTTATTTATAATTCCTTAAAATTCGCATTATGATTTATTTAGATTAATAAATTTAACATAATATTCTTATATATATACTATCTAAAAGTTAATAATACTCATATTTCAAAAGACCTTAAAGGGGAATATTGGGATTATTAAAAATTGATGGTAGCGCTCTTTTACAATTTACATTTATTTAATTGTTTTTGATTTTGGATTTCTAGTTAATAAATTAAGGATTCATGGATTGATATTAAAGATTTAGGAGATAAATGATGGTAATTTCAATATTTGAAAGCTTTTTGTTGCTATTTTAACTATAGGATATTATACCTGAGAATTCAAAAGAAAAAATTATAACAATTATTTATATTTTGGTTCTTGCTAATTGTTTTCAGATTGTTTAAATTATATGCAAGGGATCATGAAAGATATTACATAGAATCAAATGGAAAGAGATTAAAAATGAAAGAAATCAATAAAAACAAGAATAAAAGATTTTATTATTAATGAATTTTCATAAATTTAAAAGAATTAAAAATTAATTAAGAATGATGTATAATCAAGGAATTAAATATTAATAAGTTAATAAGAGTTAGTTAAATATTACTTTTAAAGTTCTATCTCAAATCTCAATCATTATTTGAATATATTATTTAAGATAAAAATATTTTGCAATACTTATACAATTAATTTTAATGAAATTTCATTAAAGAATTATAAAAAAAGTAGATATATAATAAATCGTATTTTTAAAAGTCCGAATATTATAAAGTATTATGAAATTGAAAAATCAGAGAAATATAGAATAGCAAGATTAAATATGAAACAAAAAAATACTAAAACGACAAGGAGAATCTAAATAAAATCATTCATCCTTTAAAGAATAGTTTAACAAAAATCTTAAATTTTTATTATTTAAAGAACTCCATTCTTAAGATGTTGATTGGGCTAACCAAATTTTATCAAACATCTAATTATAAAAATAAATTACTTCTGAAAATGGAATAAATTATTTATACACATTCTTTGTTATACGTTTCTGGAGTTCTTTTTTTTCTTCCAATTCATATTTTTCTGGTTAATTTAAATTTACTTTTCCTTTCATAGCTCTTCCTATTTGTTCACTAAATCCTTTTTCTTTCTCAACTTTCTAATGAGAATATAATATATTATTACTATTTAGACTTCTCGAATAATTTCTTCATTTGGTATTAAAAAATCTATACCAAAAATTGAGGTTATAATAATATCAACCAAAGCTGAATACTCTCCAATTTATAACCCTGTACGTCTCCAAATAAATGAATGCATATTTTTCATATTGATTTATTCAATTAAGTATGTTTTCAAAAACAATTTAATTTCATGAAGTTCATTTTCTGTATATTTGATATATTTTTTAGTTTCTTAATCTAATACTGGATGATTAGATATTTATTTAGCAATTTTAGCCGAAAGTTAATCTAGAAGAAGTTTAGAATTTTTATCATCACATTAGTAATTGGCATTAAAATTATCAAAAAAAGGTTACAAATTTTTATTAATATCTTTTTCTGGTTATTAAATAGTTGCTATAATTCTATGTTAATATTCTTCAAGAATATATTTTTCTAATTCTCTAGAAGTTAAAAGTTATAATTCATTAGTTGTTAACTAAATGTATTTTACATATTATTATACTTTATGATAATNATGTATAATCAAGGAATTAAATATTAATAAGTTAATAAGAGTTAGTTAAATATTACTTTTAAAGTTCTATCTCAAATCTCAATCATTATTTGAATATATTATTTAAGATAAAAATATTTTGCAATACTTATACAATTAATTTTAATGAAATTTCATTAAAGAATTATAAAAAAAGTAGATATATAATAAATCGTATTTTTAAAAGTCCGAATATTATAAAGTATTATGAAATTGAAAAATCAGAGAAATATAGAATAGCAAGATTAAATATGAAACAAAAAAATACTAAAACGACAAGGAGAATCTAAATAAAATCATTCATCCTTTAAAGAATAGTTTAACAAAAATCTTAAATTTTTATTATTTAAAGAACTCCATTCTTAAGATGTTGATTGGGCTAACCAAATTTTATCAAACATCTAATTATAAAAATAAATTACTTCTGAAAATGGAATAAATTATTTATACACATTCTTTGTTATACGTTTCTGGAGTTCTTTTTTTTCTTCCAATTCATATTTTTCTGGTTAATTTAAATTTACTTTTCCTTTCATAGCTCTTCCTATTTGTTCACTAAATCCTTTTTCTTTCTCAACTTTCTAATGAGAATATAATATATTATTACTATTTAGACTTCTCGAATAATTTCTTCATTTGGTATTAAAAAATCTATACCAAAAATTGAGGTTATAATAATATCAACCAAAGCTGAATACTCTCCAATTTATAACCCTGTACGTCTCCAAATAAATGAATGCATATTTTTCATATTGATTTATTCAATTAAGTATGTTTTCAAAAACAATTTAATTTCATGAAGTTCATTTTCTGTATATTTGATATATTTTTTAGTTTCTTAATCTAATACTGGATGATTAGATATTTATTTAGCAATTTTAGCCGAAAGTTAATCTAGAAGAAGTTTAGAATTTTTATCATCACATTAGTAATTGGCATTAAAATTATCAAAAAAAGGTTACAAATTTTTATTAATATCTTTTTCTGGTTATTAAATAGTTGCTATAATTCTATGTTAATATTCTTCAAGAATATATTTTTCTAATTCTCTAGAAGTTAAAAGTTATAATTCATTAGTTGTTAACTAAATGTATTTTACATATTATTATACTTTATGATAATTATATATTATTGTTTTCTATTTGTTATCTCCACCAATTCTCCAGGCTAAACATCCTGAACGATAAGGAACTCTTCCACAACAATAGACAAACTATTAATAATTATATTTATAAATACTGTCATCATGAAACAATCATAAATAGAACGTATTACGTATCTTAAAATACCAAATATAAATATGAGTATTGCAAAAAAAGGGAATATCATCAAACAAAATATACAAACCATTATTTCAACCATGCCTATCATTATATCTAATATAGCTCTAAATAATGGCATGCAAAAATGAATATAATCTAATTCATTATATTCAATTCTCTCTACTGTTTCATAATCATGGAATAGTAAACATATCATCCATCTATATTATCTTTTATATCTTATACTTTATTAATGCTACAAAACCAGCCCACATTATAGAAGTTATGAAAATAAAGAACAATATAGTTGAAAAGAAAAGAATTAACATAGGTTTTAAAATTAATGTACAAAATATTCCAACAAATAAAAATCTAAATATATAGACTTCTATTAAATTACAAAGTCTTGTGCATCCTTTACCAAACATACCAGAATCTTCAGAATTTTCAAATTCATCTCTTGATTTATTCATACCTTTATAAACCAATTTTAAAGTTGAACAAATTGTTTAAATCAGTTCATCATCTGTAACTTCTCCAGTTTACTCATTTATTACTTAATCATTATAAAATGGTTCTATTGAAAATAATGCTTTTAATCCATAAGGTCCCATTAATCCAAATTAATAAAATATATAATAGCTATTTGCAATTAATGTTAAATATAGTATGCATAAACTACTAAATTTCCAAAAATAATATTTAGATGTTACCTCATAAGTTATTTCCTTTACAAAGGTAAATTTATTATCTTTTTAAACTATTGGATAAGGAGGAACTACTAAACGAACTCTTAAATTATCTTATATAATTTACATTTGAATTGTAATGTTTGGATTTTAAGATTTATCTTTAGCTATTTTCTATATGTCTTTTACTCTATCCTTATATTTATGTTTATTTTCCATAAATTCTATATAAATATTTCTATCAGAAATATTCTTTTAGGTTAATTCTTAAATCATTTATTAATAATATTTATTTTTTAAATTCTTCTTTTTAATTTTTAAAGCAGCTTTAATGTATTTAACTCGATGACTTTTCTTACTTAAAAAGAAGAATTCTTTTTCATATTATTCAATCACATCGTTTTCGTAAATTGCTAATTCATTCTAAACATTAAATAAATCTTATACCTTCAAAAGTTCTTAATAGTATCTTTATAATTTATAACATTCAATAATATCCAATATTTATCTAATTGCAACTTATGGTAAATCTAAATTATTTATTTGAAAAAATCTCTATTAAGCAATATAAAGCTATTCACTTATAAGTTCCTCTATGTCTTTATTTGGATCAAAAATAATGCTGTATTTCTCCTAAAGATTTGTAAATTCATAATTATTTTAATGATTTCTATTTAAATGTATAGCACTCAATTATGAGGCTATTTTCCAACATTCTTGTTCAAAATATTTTAATTGATTCTTAATAAAATCAACCTTCATTTTTAAAGCTTATTAATTTTCTGGTGTATAAAGAAAATATTAATATATTGAAAAATTGAAATTCTTTTTTTTTAACGCTAGTTATCTTTCTTTCTCTACTGTAAGCTAAGCTGTTTTTTATGAAAAATCACTAATTACTTCTCTATATCCAATAAATACTGATGGAATCAATATCGTTTTCTAAATGAATAATATATTTTACTTTAAAAATTATACAAAATCCATGAGCAATTGAAAAGTTCCATAAACTATCAAATTTTTCTTTATTATAAATAAAATCTCCTAATCCAGTTAGACAATCTTAAACCTTTAACATATCTTTATAAAAAGAATTTCTTATGTTCTTGGTTCCTTTTATTATCCATCTTGAAATAATCCATCTATATTTTGTATTTGAATTATTCTTAGACCAAACATCAAAAGTGCCATCTTTCCTTATTTAATTTAATTAATGATTATCGAAATCTACATAAGGAACAAAGTCATATTGATTAATTTCCTTTTTCATTTGAAGTTGATCATTATTTCTTTTTATTATTTTTTTTTTTTTAAAATAAGAGGGTGGTATATTAAAATTAAACGCTTGTTTAGATAGTATCCAACTTTATCTAATATGGATTGTTTTTTCAACAAGTTGATTTGCAATAAATTTTAAGGGTTATTAGATATTATCATTTTATGATAATTCCTAATATCAAAAAGATAATTACTTCTTCTTGTGGATTACCTTTAAAATTAATTTCTCCTTTTGGTGGTAAAACATAAAATTTTTCATCATCTATATTGAAATTGAGATTGGTTGAGAAGTTTTCACCGATAAAATTCTTTAGCATTCAAGATGGAAATATTATTTAATGTATTTTTAATAATTCAAAAGATTTTCAACATTCAATGCTTTCTTTATCTCATATTCTAAGAGTTTTTATTTCTCAGTTACATTGTTTATATGGTAACAACTTTTGCAACAGATTTTTATTTTTTTTGATTAACTTATTCTTTTTTTTATTTTTTTTCAGTAATTTTCTCTTTTTCTTTGCTCTATATTTGCTTTTTTGATATTTTTTTGTTGATTTTTATAGGACTCTTAATTTTAGTATTTTTTCTTGTTTCTCTTGTTTAAGGTTTTGCTTTGAGGGATCTTTAAGTGCTTTTTAAATTTTTATTTTATACATTAATCTATTACTTTACGTTTTATAATTAAATTTTACTTGCTTGTGATTTTTCTTTTTATAATACTATTTTCAATTATGATTTCTCTAAATAATTTATTGGAAAGATCTTTTTTGGACTTTTACTTTTTTCAATAACTTTCTTAGAATTTCTATTTTATTAATTATTTTTCTCCACTTTAAATGTTTTAATTTTTGCCACTTCTACTGATCGAGAACGATTTATGGTTTTAATTTACTTTTTATTTTCATTATTTTATATTTATTTAGTTAATTAAAGACTTTTACTTCTAGTTTGTGATCTTCCTATTTATAATCTACTCGATTTTTTGTTTTAATCTTATTACTTTGTTTTTGTTTTTTGTTAGTTAACTTATTTTTGATTTTAATTTCTATTCTTTATAGATTAAACAAATTTTTAATTATTTAAAGTTTATTTTTAAATTATTTATTTTTATTTTGCAAACAATTTTAATTCCTTTATTTCTTACTTTTAATTTTTTGAATTCTATCTTTTTGTTGATAATAATGGTGCTGAAGTGTTTAATAAGTCTATGTCTCTATCTTTGTTTCTTCCTTATCTTGTAATAATTGCTGATTCATTAAGTTTTAAATTAATTTATCCTGGTGACTAATTTGATGAAATTTATTTGATCGATTTTTATTCTCTTACTGTAGATAATTAAGGTGTTTTTAATTTAGATTATAAAGGAGATGATTCTTTTAATTATTTTTTAACTCTTTTACATATTGATAAATCTAATTTAGAATCTAAATTTTATTATTTACTTTAAATTTTAGTCTAATCAATTTTAGTACTCTTAATATTGTCCTTTTACTTTTTAAATTCATTAATTGATATAAAAGAATTATTGAAAGATATTTCTTTACTTTTTGATTTTGATTATTTATCATCATCTTATGGTTAATTTCTTTATTTTCTTTAGTTTTTCATTTTATCATTTTTTGTATTTGGCTATTCTTAAATTTTTTCGGATTGCTTTTTTGGAGTAGATATTGTTTTATTGTTTATTATATTACTACTTCTAGAATTATAGATATGCTTTTCTTTAATTTATGTGTTAATTTGTTATTTAATTTTTTAAGGAGTAGCAGATTTTTGTTAATCTCCATTTTTTTATTACTTGTTAATTTAATTTATTTTTTATGCTTAAACTTTAGGTTTTACTTTTTATTTTTCAATTTATTCTTTTTCTTCTTCCATTTCTTCAATTTTATTTTCTTCTTCTTTATCTTATTATTATTATTATTATTATTATTGTTGTTATTATTTTTATTATAATTATTATTGTTATTATTGATTCTATTAATTATCTTCTATTTAATTTTCTTAGAAAATTTCTTCAGCTGGAGTTGAATCAAAACCACTACTGGATTCATTATCTTAAAATGATTATTTAAAATATGTATCCTCAAATTTCTTAACTATTTCTTTCACTTTTCTTAATTTCTTTTTAGGGAACCATTTTGCATCTTTTCCAGTTTTACCTTTAAAACGTACCAAATATTCTTTTTTTCCATTAGTACGCTTTATACCAATAATAATATCAATTTAATCTATTTCATCTTATTCTTCTTCTATTTTTTATACAAATTATAAATCTCGCGGTCTTTCGTTTTGTTGATTTAAATAATCTTAATAATCTGTTATATAATCTTCTATTTAAACCTAAAGTCAATATATAGAATACTTTTATAGTTTCTTCAAAATTTTATTATGCTCTTTAACCATATATTTACTTTTCCTCAACTTTTAATTCATCCCATAATTATTAAAGATTAGTTAGTCCTTTATCTACCCCTTTTTCTTAAAAAAAAAATACAGATCCATCTGCTTTCTTTTTTTTAATCAGACTAGAAATGGAATGATATTAACGGAGCAATTAATCATAAAGTTCCTCTTCCTACTTTGATAATCGATAATATTCTAAAATCTAACTTAATCTTACCATCTTTAAGTTCTTTTTCTAAGTTTTCCCATTATTTTTTTGATAATTCAGAATTATGATTTAGATTTTTTTCTTAACATGCTTTTTCATAATTTCCATTAAATCTTTCATAAGCACTTTATGGTTTTTTTGGAGGTTAAACACATTATGATTCTCGAAATAGCTTAAAAAGCTCTTATATATAGCCATCTTCCATTTTTATAAAAAAATGAATTTTATTGGTTAATTAATATTAAATTAGAATTTTTTATTTCGATTTATTTTGGAAAATTATTTGAATAATTTTTAGTAACATTTATCTTTGTTAATTTATTGTATTAATTCTCTAGCTTAATCAAATATTTCTATCATCTTAAAAATATCATTATAAATATTAACTATTATTTATATTAATTGTCTTCTATAAGAAAAGTTTTTGTTAATCTCAAAGCCAATTGAGCTCTATGATTATTTATATATATTAATATTCAAAAATAATTTTTTTAATGAATGGATAATCATAAAAGAGTTGACAAAATTATTATTAATAAAAATATATTCTTATAGGAATTACTCAATTATTCATAAATACTAATAGGATTAACATTATCATTATAGCTGCCAAATATTAGGTTTAATCTATCACACCAAAAAATAGATATCTCTTGATTTTTATTGAAGATATTACAATTTTCATCTCGAAAATTAACTATTAAAATAAATATGAACTAGTAAAAAATATATAAATTAAGTTGAATATTGGTTTTAATATTCCTTAATATGTAGATAATTTCTTTATTTATTTTATATTGATATTGATTTATTCTTTTATTTTAAAATATCATAATTTTGACTATATCTAATAATTTTTTATTACATCTATAACTTGTTATTTTCTTAGAGAAAATATTAATTTTTTTAAAGAATATATCAGAAGACAATTATAAAGCTTGGAAAAAGTAAAGCAATGCTTAACTAAAATTATAATATTTGATTAGGAGAATTGGAAAGCTTATTTGGTTGACTGCAAATTAAACTAATTATTTAAACGAGACTTGGATATATTTGTTGTACTAAGAAAAATAAACAATTTGGTAGATTTAAAGAGTAACAGAAGATTATTAGAATTCTAATTTATAAAAAGATCTCATAATTTAAATTAATCCCATTCCAAAAAATAGGTTAAGCTTGCTTAAAAAATAATGATAAGTAAAAAATAATAAGAAGAAAAATAAAAAATAATATTAAAATTGATTGATTTCTTATTATTATTTGGTATAATATAATAATGATTTCAAACTCTTAGATATATAAAATTCAATTATCTTCCAATCTTTATTACAATAATCTTTCTAATAATCTCTTGTCTATTAGTTTATTTAATGCATCATCAAAACCTTGGTTAATTTATTCTTGTTTTTCTTCTTAAGTAAAGTCACTATCAATAGCTACAATAAATTATTTAGGAACTAAATATTTTTCTTCAATTTACCTAATTTATTACAGTATCTAAAATAATTGAAAAAATAACCTCTAAACCATTTTTTTAGGTAAAATTAATTTTAACTAAAATTATATGATAGATTTTTTTTTCTTCAAACATTTTTTCTAATCTTTTAAATCCAGCATCTATTGATCTATCATATTCAACTTTAGCTTTAAAATCAAATTTCATTTATAATAAAGCACTTATTTATATACCAGAATCATCTAATAAAAAGATAGTAACAATAGGATGATAGAAAGCTTTTCTATTTTAAGGTTATTTTTATGGAACAGGGATGTCTTTGAATGAAGAAATCTTTTCAGGTAATTATAATTAATCAAGATCTTTGTGAATTTTATTTATTTTTTCTTATTGATCCAAATTTGAAGTTTTCAATATGGGTTTCCCAAGAACATTAGGAAGAGGATTTAAACGACTTTGAATTAATTACTCTAAATATTATAATTTTAAAGGTTTTTCTTAGACTTCGTCAAAGCCAGCTTGTAGACAAGATTATTTAAGACTTTATGATATATTGGTTTCAACACCAACAAAATATTATTTAGGTAAACTATGTTAAATTTCAAGTTATCTAATTTCTTTAATAAACTAATAATAATATAATAAAATACTTAGATTCCATTTTTTAATGGTAGATTAATTCTAACAATAATGAAATGATAAATTTTATTTTATTCAAACATTGTCTTAATTTTTTTAGTAGCATCAGTACATCTAATGCTCTAATCAAATTAATGTGTTTGTTTAACTTTTAAATCTAAGAAATCTGTTGAGTCATCTATTATTAAATAAGTTAGTTTTTCTTTATAAAACTGTTTTATATCAACAGTTTCTTATTATCTGATTTCTTCAGGTTAACTTTCAATTTCATTAATAGTAACTTATTTTTAGACTTTGAAACTAGGAGATTTTTCAGATCCTTAAGTTTAAACAGGTTAAGCAATGACTCCAAGTGAAGTTTAGGATTACTAAGATTTTTAGATTTAAATATCTTCTTATGCAGAAGGAATGAACTTTACAGAATTCTTAAGATCGTCATTATTATCTTCTGGTTTAAATTGATTAAATTAATCACTTTATTCTAAATGTTAAACTTTGGAATCATTTTCTCTAAGATTTCTCAATAATTAAGTTCCTTAGTTTTTTTTAGTTTATTATATAGGATTAATTTATTAAGAAGAAGTAGATGCTCCACCAAAATTCGATGAGGCCAACATTGGTATTTATTATACAGCATTTTGTCTAAATAAAGATTAATTTGGATGTTATTATAATAATTATTATTATTATTAATGAACATTAGTTTCTCGTTATTCAGGTATAGTTGTTCTAAATTATTGCAAATTAGGTACACTAGTATTTCTTTAGTTTTATTGTTAAACTGAAGAATCTACAAATATTTTTAAATAATTACTACTAGGAGAGGTTTCAAATGATTTCTACTTTTGTTTAGAATTTCTAAAATGAACATTGATTCTTTTTCCTTTAAAAGTCATAATTTCTGATAAAACTTATTCTAAGACTTTAGAAACAGCTTTTTCTACAGAATGCATTTATGTATTAATTCTATCTTCAATATCAAAAGTAGCAACATCAGTTTATTTCATAGTTGATGGTTTATTAATAGGTGATAAATTAGGACTTATAATTTTATTTGACTCTAATTTTTCCTCTTCACTAATTACATTAGGGCGATAAGTAAATTCAATACATTTACAAATCTAAAAAGGTTTTTATTCACTTATAGATGTTAATACTTTTACTGCCTCTTCATTAACCCTAAGAGCAGGCTAAGGAGCTATTCTTTAAGTAGATGTTATTTAAGTTGTAGATTTGACTCTAAAAGTTTAATATCTTTCATTAATTATTGAATAGATTTTAGATTAAGCATCAAATTTACCCATACTAATATAATGATCTAAAAAAACTGATTAATAATCATTTGTTACTCTTAAAGGAATATTTATTTAAATCTTAATATTATCTAATCTTTCACATAGTTCTATCTTTCCTTCAATTTAATATATCTAATGTATAATATGAACAAATGATGTATAAGATAAATCCTCTTCTTATTTTTATTACATTCTTAAATCATAGTTTTTTAATCCTTCAAAGTCAAATTTTTAAAATAACATTTCTAATTCTTATATTTAATTATGATAATCAATTTAAATTGTTATTTACAAATCGTCTCCTTTTGATATTGTAAACGAAATCAAAGAAAAGTTATTCACTTCCTTTTAAATTTACCTCTCACTCTATTGAATCAATTATTTTTAAGAAGAAAATCCTTACATCATCTACTTTTTATGATGTTCCTGATAAATGTAAGATATTAATTATGTTAAAATACCATGCATCTTTACAATATCTATAAAAGCCTAATCAGGAACATCATTCTCTATTCTTACACTTGGATTCGTTTTATAGATTATCTATAAACAATCAGCAAAAAATTTAAAGTAATTTTTCAAATTACAAACTATTTAATCAGACTTTTAGTAATCTATCTTACTAAGCATTGGAAATAATGCTTATAATAATTACTATTTAATTCTTTCAGGTTATTTTGATAAAATCTCAGATATTTATTATATTTTCATTATCTATAAGCTTTATGATATTTTATCCTATATTAAAGCTTAATCATCAGACTTCTCTATGAAAACAGTTTCAACGATTATGTTCTTATTGAACACTTACTTTCTTAAATGACAAGTAATTGGTATTGGATGTCCAGAAAATGCAAATGATATTATAATTGGATCCGTAGATTCCAAAGTTTCCTCAAAAACCTTTTGAAATTTGACTTTGTCTCCATCTGACAGTAATAAATCGCTATACTTCTATATTGCATTCACCTAATACTATTTTATTACTAAATCAACAGATTTTGGCAAGTATTTGTATGAAATTGAATTCTAAAATTATACTTCACCGTTTGAATTAAATAAGATAATTCCTACTGGCAATTCATATAGAAGTTTTTCAATCATTTGATTATTTTTTTTCATTCTTTCGTTATTAATCCAAATATTTTTATAAGCATAAGAGTAGGCAGTTACAATCAACAGTTAGATAATTTAATAAAATATTAAAAAAGCCATCAATACAATGATTTTGAAAGTACTAAAAATAAAATATAAAATTACTTATAATCTTTTAATAAATACCATCTAAAGATAGTTATTGATGAAATTTTTAAGATATTCTAAAATATCATGTTATATTGATCATATTAAAATATCATTGATTTTGAAGTTTATATACCTATTTGTAAAACAAGTCTTATTATAAATTCATTATCATTTTCTCTACTAAAGTTTAATATAGAAATCAAAATTAACACATCTAAAAGATGATTTAACAAATTTTAAACTTTACGAAGTTTCTATTTCAAGGTTAATAACAAATGTATTATCACTAAAATAAGACAAAAAGTTAGTAATTTGTTTTCATTACTTTTTTATGTGAATCTAATAATTATTATCGATAAGGCATTATTAAAGTCATAAAAATAGTCCTTAATTTTGTTGTGCTTCAAAAGATATTTATTAAAAAACTGAGCTATCTTTTAGTCTATAAATTAACACCACTTATTAAGTTTGTATTATTCATCTCCAAAATTATTATACATTAAATATTTATATTTATATATATATATATATCAGATAAAATTGAATTCTTCTTAATAAATTTAAGCTTCTTACATCTACTAAAAATAACCTTATATTTTAAATTAATTTAGTATAAAAATCCAACCAAAATTAATTTGCCTATAGAAATGTAAATTATATATATTTATTTAGATTTTTATTCTGATTGTTTTTTTTAATTAATAAATCTAATTATAAATAGTTATGTTTACAGAATAAGCATACGATGCTTCTTTAAAAATAAACTAATTATAAATTGATTTTAAACAAGAAAAAAAAGTGAAATAAAATAGGAAATCAACTGGCCTTATTGATGCAGTCATAAATTCAATTTTCAAATAGTAAAATCAATGTATTGTTGTAAGTTTTATGTTAGAAAACAAAAAAAATTATGAAAGCTTTGATAGCTTGCATGAAAAATAAATGAGAGATAAGATGAAAATTTATTTAAGATTTATGATAAAGTTCTTAATATTAAAATTATTCATAAAACTTAAGTACATAAATCTAAAAATAATATGGAATCAGGCTAGGCTTTTTTGATATATTTTTAGAGATTTTTAATTAATTATTATAAATTTGGTTATGATAGATTTATGGTTATTATTTGATACCTCTTTCATTTTTTGAAGTATATCTCTATCTTAATTGAGTCTACATTCTTTATTATTAATTATTTATTTCATTATAAATAAGTTGAATTAGAATTATCAAAATATACTTTTTATAACTTCAAATGATTTGATTCATCCTATCGAATATTTGTAATTAATTATTGAAATTAGTTTTTCTCATCTGGCTCAATTTTTTACCTAATATTATTTGTATTTAAAATATTCGTACTTTCTATTATTGCAACGATTCATAATACTCAAATCCCTTCTATTGAGCATCCAAAATTAATTTACCATAGACTCAATGAGTAAAATTGCTATACTTCAAAATTTATTCAGCAAAGCCTTAGTATAAATCTTTTTCTGAAAGTAGAAGAATCAGAAAAGTAAATAAGATTTATTTAGACTGATTTGCTGATTAAACGAGATATTTTTGTAAATATAATTAATTTAATTAAAATATAAAGAGGAGAAAGGAAAATTAAATAGCATCTAATAAATATACTAATATAGTATTCAATGTCGATAACAAATATTTTAGTATTGAATATTTTCATATTTGAAAAAATCTGCTGCTAACTAATACTTCAATAAATATATACTTTGATTAGTTTTGAATTTTTTATAACACTCTAACTGAACTCTTCAAAATTCATAATCTTAAAATCATTTTTTTGAAAATGTAATCTTAGCTCCACTATAAGTTAATAATTAAATTTCTCATATGGTATATTTCGTGCATCGACTACATTATTTGATTCAATCATTGTGAATAATTTAGCTACAGTTCTTTCATCTGAATCTTTTGTTACTTGATATAATTAATTATCTTCTTGGGCTGAAGTATAAGGACTATCGTTTTTAAACTAACTCTCTTCAGAAAATGATACATTTGGAGAATCTTATGTTTTTGGTAACTAAGTAACACTCTCTTCATTTTCCAAAATAGAAATTTTAACCTCTTTTTTAGGAACCAAGAACTCAAATGATTTATTTTAATACAATTAATTGAGTCTGGGACTTTTTAATTACACTTGTTTTTACTAATTAGTCTAAATATAAAATTAATTTTAATTCTATTGAGGACTCTTACTTTTATTAGCAGAGTAATTATTATTAATTTTAGGTTTAAATGTGAGATTTGGATCTTTTTGCTTTTATTATTATTCGTGTTCTCTTTTCTACTATTTGAAGTTATTCATTTATTTAGCTTATTAATATAATCTCTCATGAATATTCATATCTTCTGTTTAAAACCTTTTATTTCTAGATATATTTCTCTCAGATTTTAAATTATTTTGTAAATTCTTTTCGGGAGTACATCGTTTAGTTTGCTAATTTCGTGTTGGTGTTGATTGCTAATTTTCTTTATTCTACTGCTATTTTTTAACAGTTTCCCATTAAGAAAGAGGTTATTTATCTCTATCTTGTTTCTATAATTAAAGGATGTATTTACTTTCATTTAATCGTACATTAACATTTGTTAAATAATATTTTATTTGAGTGGTTCAACATAAGCCATGCTTAAGTAATTGTCTGTAACAAAATTAGATGCTAATATTTCAGGATTAGAATCTTCATAAATATTGATTTGACTATATTTATTTTCATCCAATTCAATAGTCAAAGTTATTAAAGGTTCGCAGTGTATTTTTGTTTCAGATGTCTATTTTTATATATATTTCTTCATAAAAGTGAATTAGCTCATTAACGAATATTTTTTATTTACTAAAAATTATTATGTGATGCTCCAAATTAATTACTAATAATCTACAAAATCCTAAAATTAATAACTTTATCAATTTGGAACAATTCATGTGGAAGAAATTCAGAATTACTTACTCACCATTAGTACTTAGATTTTGATATAATAAATTTAATAATCTAAATGAAAGTGAGTATTTCATTTTAAAAATAAGTAATATCGATTAGTTTGTCATTTGATATAATAATAGGTGTTATCTTAATAATTAATATTGAAAAAAATATCTATTGAATATTTTTATTAATTATATATTTATATAAGCATTTAAGCATCCTCATTTAATTGGAAAATGTAGAACTTTAATAATGTAATTGATTATCTAAAGGGAGAAGTTTTAGATAGAGAAGAGGAATGGAAAAAAGAAAGACAAGAATATCAAGTAATTAATTTTTTTTTATAAAACAGACTGCGATAATTGAGTTAAAGGGATAATTAGAAGAATAAAGAAATCTGAACAAATAACTTATAGAAAGGTTAGAAAAATTGGAACAGTTTAAGGTTTCTTTGTAACCAATTGCAGATAATATAAAGCTGCAAACAAAAAAAAAATTTCATCACAGAGTTAAGAGTGATAATGGAACATTTTTAAAAAACGAGATGAACGAATAAAAGTTAGTGACTCAACCAAACATTGAGAAAATATTATAAAAGGATAAGAAACCACTTTTACAAAAGTAATGAATTTTATAATTTTAGCTTTCTTAAAGAGTTGAAAAGTGACGAACCTCAAGAAGATTAAGTTTAAAATTAAATATAATTTCATTCTCCTATAAATTTGTAGTTACTTTAAAGTGCAAAAATAAATTAAATTTTGATAAATCAAAATACTTACAATACATGCTCATCGAGACAAAAGCATCATCATTAAAGAAGCAATAGTAACGGAGCTTCAGAATTACTGAATTTTGCATTACAAAGAAAAAAGCAAACTTTAGAAACCAGTCAAAATGAAGTAAATAGCATGAGTATGACAGAGAGAGAAATAATAGTTGGAAAAGAAATCTTCTCAACAAAAGGATAATTAAGAAGTCATTTGGATGGAGTAAGATCAATATTATTTCAAAATAATTATATAGTCACAGGTTCTGAAGATTGTACAATAAAATTATGGAATCTAAATGATGTGTAATAAATGAATGCTTAAACACATTTAGAGCCTGTTTAAACAATTAGATGTAATTAATTTATAAATGATAAATAGAGCATGATAGACCAATATTTACAATGACATCATACTTTAAGTCTCCTCAAATACATTTGTATTCTGCAGGAGTAGATGGAACTATCAGAACATATATTGTCACAACTAATCAATATTTTTCATGGCGTGCCCATACAGATGTAATTTGGTCTTTGAAACATCATCCACATGATTAAAGATTATTATCTTCTTCTGCAGATGGATCTGTGAAAATGTGGAAATCACTTGGAGTTTGTTATCAACATGATTTAATAAAAAAAGGAAATTTAAATTTAGAGATGTTATAAAATCCTTTGGCCAATTTCACATTTAAAAAATCAATGACAGGATTGTCGATACCTACAGCAATTGAATGGATTTGTAAGGGCTTTAATGAAAGTATCATTTGTGGATACAGTGACACTTTAACATTTATTGTTTATGATGTGACTACTGTTAAAGCTATTTAATAAATTAGATTTGATCTTGATAATTAGTTTAACACTTTTGCTTAACCAAATAGAATTCTATTCAATAATGAGCTTAAATATATAGTATCTGGTCATGATGATCATAAAATTCGATTTTTTGATTTGAATTCAAGCAAAGTTTGTAAGACTCTAATTGGACATACAGATGCTGTCACTGATTTATGTTTATTCTCAAAGAATGTTTATCAATTGGCAAGTGTGAGTCATGATGGAAGTATGAGGACATGGGATATTCGTAAATTCTAATGTTTACATGAAATTCCAGTAATTTATTTATCAATCACTTTAGGCACACAAATAAAAGTATGACGAAGGTATATAAACTATTGCTAGCAATAATTAATATGTAGCAACAGGAGGAGCAGATGGAATAGTTAAAATATTTAACTATTAAGATGTCATATGACCTCAATAACTGTAAATGATATTTATCATTTTTTTTATTTTATCAGCTTTGATTTATTTTAATTTGGATTTTTTCTTATTTTTATTAGAACAACATTTACAAGATTACATAATTAGTTAATATAATCTTGTATTTAATTAAAATAAAGAGTAAGAATGGATTTATCAAATTTTAGAATTAGAACCTAAATTATTGCTTTGTTTATTATTATTGTCATCATTGTGTTGGCTATTGTAATAATCAGCAATATCACTTTATTTAATTATATGAAAGATGCTTTTCTCTCTAATTCCATGAATGTATTAGTAAAAGAAACTAATAACTAATTAACAAGTCAACTTACTTTATATGATTAGAGATTGAAAACAATAATAAATTAGAGTATGTTTTTAGAAAATAATTGTTAGTTTTCAGAAAACAACGAATGTTCCAAAACATTTATTTATTTATTGATGTTAATGATAACATTATTCAAACTCAGACCCCCTTTTACTGTCCATCACATATATCGTAAGCAGAATCTAAATCTTTCTTTTGCCTTATGGCATATTAACATGATTAATCTAACTATACTAAATTATCAACAACAATCAAAAAGTAATTTTAGGTCATTTCAATATTTCATGAAACAATATTGATGTTTGACACTTCTTCATTTATTGTTACTGGCATTGCTTATACATCAAATGATGAAATCCCTATTTTAGGCACTTGGCCAGCCTTAAATTCAACATTATCTTATAATGCACATCAACGTTCTTGGTATCTAAGCCATACTAAATAAATGGAAAATGGACATTAATATTTATATAGTGATTTATTCACAACAATTATAGGTTCTTACACTATTGCCATATCATAGAATTTAACTGATAAAAATAATAATTATGCAGGAATTGTTTTTAATTTAATGGATTTTGGGGTCTTTAAAAAAAATTTCAATGCTGATTATATTTTAGCTAATAATAAGGGTTAAATTATTATAGGATAGTTCAATTATCCTGAAAATACCACTAAACCAATCTTCTTTTTTAATGAGACAATTACAGGTTTTAATTAAGTTGATTGGGATTCAATTCAAATGATTATTAATCATCCTTACCAATAATAAGATGTTTAATCTCTAAACAATTGCTCCTAAGATGTATCAAACTACTTATGCAGATACAATTCTTTATACAAATAAGAAGTTCTTTTAATTGCTAAATAGCTTGAATATCCTCCATATCCTCCTCATATTGTAATAATGTAATTAATTCTAATATTAAAAAGATTTAAAAATATGACTGAACTTTATCAATAAGTGGATAGACTCAATTAAGATATATATTATTTGTTTGGCCAAGAATTTATTAAAGATATTTAAATTTTGAGTTTAGTTGCTTTAGGGATTATTTTAATATTTTTAGTAATATTAAATTAAATAACTAAATCTTTAAACCTATTAATCAAATATTCTAAATTTTAGTAGAATAATCTTACCTATTTAAAAGAACAATAATAAATTCAACAATAAATTGAAGCCATAACTAATTTATATAATTTTAAACAAAACTTAAACATGATCAAACAATCTGAGAATGCATTAGATTAATTAACATTACAGTATTTTTGTAATCATCTTTTTTATGACATAGAATTGTTATCAATTTTTAAAGGTCAACAAGGTGAATATAAAAAATCTGAAGAATGTCTTTAATTAGAATCTACATAGTATCCAAAAACTAGATTCTACTTAAAGTTCATGAAACGTTACTATTTGTATGATTATCAAGCTAGTATAGATGAAAAAACTGTTAATCAACTTATATATTATTTTTTAAATAAAAAATAGAAATATTGATTATTTTAGTTATTTCAATGGGTAATTTAGAAAATGGTTGTCTTTCTCGATCTTAATAAATAACTAACATTCACAACAAGGAGAGACCTTCTTAATTGAAAAGATAATATGTATCAGAAAAAATTAGAAATTCGTTTCTCTACCCAATTCCTTTAAAAGAAACATAAATGTTTGCAAAAAAAATAGGAATTTAAAATTACAATCCATATAGTAAATCAATTACAAAACAAATAATTGAAGTCTCAAATCTTAATTAAAACTTAGAATTAAGTTTATGTCGATTTCTATTGGTAAGTTTATAATCTAATCTAAATTAAATAAATGAGATCTTAATATCAAACTAATAATTCAGATAAAGTATAAGACCAATTGAAAATGAACTTTTAAGAGAAGCAATAAAAATTGTAGGAGTTGATTTTTAAATGGGATTAGTATTGAGTATAAAATTAGATAAAATCAATATTGAATATGTTTAGCAATACCTGCTATTTTTTTTCGAATATCTATTTTATGAGATTGCCAAAAATAATAAATTAAATAATCACATTATTGTCATTTATGATTTACAGTAGGAAGCAGTAAATTAAATATTTCTTAACTTCTTAATAAATTTGACATATAAGCATTATTTCCTGAATATAAGAAAAGTGATTCTTGTAAATTTAAATATTGAAAAAATTTCATCCGAAGTAATAGGAATGCTCAATTCAAGCTAATACTCATATTTATTATTGCCTTTAGCTGATATAGTTTATTTAGCTAGACATGTTAAAAAATCCGAGCTATAAAATGAGTATGGAGGGGTTTTTGTAAGGTAAAGAAATCCTATACCTTTAACGATAAGTGAGGCGATAAAATACAAATTATGAATTTTGTTTTAAATTTTAAATATATATAATCTGACTTTTCAATATGTTTTAGCTAAAAATATCAAATATTTTTCAAACGTTATTTAAAAATAAAATATCTTAATAAGTTTGAACTCTTTGTTTTTATCTAAATTTTCCATAATCATAGAATTTTTCAATAAGTGTTTAATTTTATAAAAAATATGATTAAAAACTTCTTTAAACTATGTAACGATAAATTCTAATTAGGTTAGAAAATATTTAAAATTATAATGTAGAATCAGCATTGAGTTTTCTATTACAGATATCTGAGGTAATATATTGCCTTTTATTAAATGATTACTGTATCTCGTATTTTAATGTTTATCTAGTTTGATACCCCAAAAGATATTAATTATAGAATCAATTGACATATTCAACACTGCGAATTATTTTCCTAAAACTGATGATAAATTAACAAATTAATTAATTTTCAATTAAATTTTAAAAAATGGATTTGTAAAATTATATATTCATGAATTAAATATTCTAATTTTAAAAATGCAGACCTCATTTTGTTGATTTTTATTATGCATCTTAAGCATCCGCTATAATTATATTAGAATTGGAAATAGACTCATTATTTAGGACTTATGGACTGGCTTTAGAATAAGAAAGGGGGAAATTCTTTCTGTTGTATTTTTTATATGGATCAATAAATCATTAATATCAATTATATTAGTCTTCATTTATTATCTCGATTTACATTCCTAAGTAGAATCTGTTAAATTAAAAGATTATTTTTAACATAATTTATTTATTTAATTTATATTATTTATATAATTTATGATTTATCCAAAAAATAAACTATAATCAGCAGGGTAAGCTACTTTGTCTCGTAAGAATTATACATCAGAACAAAGAGAAGAAATTAAAAGACAAATCGCTGATAGATTATCAAAGAAGTATGGTTTAGATTTGACAGAATAAATCAATGCGAAAGTAAATAGCTATCTTAATCAAAATTAAACTATAACTGCTGAAGGGTATTTGAGATTTTAATATATGTAGGATATAAAATTTAGAATAAGAAATCAGTCGTTAAAAGGCATTACCTTAATTATAATAATAACAATCAACAAATCAAGTCAAGTAAAAAGATGAAGATGATTAAAAATCAGTTGTTTCAAAAATGTCAGGGGCATCAAACTTTGATATGGTTGATTAATATACACATAAAACTGAAAAAAATACGGAAGAAAAGAAGAGTTAAAAGATGACAGGTTTACACACAAAGAAAATTGAAAATGACTTGGCATTTCTTAATGAAGAAAATTAATGGGGGGCTATTTATAAATATAATAAATATCTTTATGATAAGGAAACTGATATTAAAAAGTAAAGAGAAGTGGAAAGAAAGAAGAAAATAAAAGAAGAACTAGATTAATAAGTTATTGAAAAATAATCAAAAAAAGTATTAAGTAAAAAGGAAGAAAATGCATTCTATGAAAATTAGATGTATTAATGTGCACTGTTTGATTAGAAAGAATAGGAAAAAGCAGATAGAGTAAGTTTAATTACCATAATTAGGCTAAATACATTAAAATGATTGAGAAATAAGCAAGAGATTAGCAGGTTAAAGAAATCAAGAAAAATAGAAGAATAGAAGATAAATAAGAAAAGGCATTAGATAGTTACATGATCCATAAAGTAAGAGAAGAACTAGATGATGAATAAAAGTTTTTATAGTTCAAAAAAGAACACCAATATTAGGTTATGCAAAAGCTGATGGCAGAAAATGAGGAAAAGAAAAGATTATAGGAAAAGGAAAAAGAAGATGAAAGGTAAGAGAACATAAGATTGATGGATGCTTATTGCAAATTACTAGATAAATAAGAAGAGGAAAGATAAAAAGCAATAAAGGAGAGAGATGAAAAGATAAAACAATATCAGGAAAAGGCTATGGAGATGTAAGAGAAGGAACTAGAAAGTATGAAAAATATATTAAATAATTAGAAAAAATTGGTCAACTAGAAAAGAGGGCAGACAAATATGAATAAAGAAAGGAGAGAAGAATACAAGAACTAGAAAAGGAAGCTGAGAAAAAGAAATGGGATACTAAGTTGAAAACACGGGAGTACTTGAATAAATAGATGGAAGAGAAAGAAGTATAGAAATAAAGAGAAAAATTAAAGGATCAAGAATAAGTAAGAGAAATTTAATTGATTAGGCTACTTTGTGGAAAGAAGACACTACCAATTATTTTCAATTTGAAAAAGAAAGAGATGTTGAGAAAAAGAAAATTTATAAGGAATATTAAGATACATTGCTAGAATAGATGAAAGAAAAATCTCAAGCCAAAAAAGGCATAATTGATGAAATGCTTAGACATGAATAAATGCTCAGTAAGAATACGTTGTCAGAATTGGATCAGATGAAACAAACAGTGCAATGAATTATTTCATATATAATATAATTATTATTTTCTTGTTTTTTTGAATAGAGAGAGAAAGAATGATAAAAATAAGTTTATAGGGTAGAGAATAGATAATAGCATATTGAATGTTATTATCAGTTTGAATTCATTCAATCTGAAATTAAACTCTTCTTTGCCCTACATCAAATGTTGTGTCTTGTTTTCTAAATTTGCTGTATTTTAATTCTTATTTCAATATACTTTTAACAGATTTTTCATCTGCCTATTTGCTTCTCTGACTATCCAACATTCCATCATCTTCAATTGGAGAATGTTCTCTGCTGCTAGCTTTTTGTTCAAAAGTTTATAATTTTTTGAGACGATTGCTATCTAAGGATTTTAATTTATTTGTAGCTTCAAAATTGCAAACAGGGGAATCATTCTTTTTTTTTCCAATTGAACATTGCGATTTAAAAGGAGTATCATGCTTATCTAATTACCCAATTAACTATATTTCTTTTTATGAATGAGACTGATGTTACTCAGACTTTCTACTCTACTAAGATTTAAGATCAGCAAATCCTGGTGTTCCTGGTTCATCTGGGCTGCTTTTTCGAGATGATAATTTAAGTTTGGGTAAGGGATTTCTATAATTAATATGATTAACAAATACTAAATACTCTTATTATGTTCCAGACTATTTCATGGCAACATCCTATTTAATTAATAATTCAGAGTCTTTTTCTTCTAAATACTATTTGGTGCAACACTAAGCAGCTCCCATATAATTGTGATGGTAATTACTAAAATAATTATAACAAGTATTTTTATATTAAAAAAACAGATTGTATAATTTGATATGAATATACAATGAAAATACACTCATAATTCTTCAACTCTATCTAAATCGACCCAAGGATGAGATGTGTTTTCTTTTAGGAAGGAAATGAATCCAGCTTCATCTCTTCCTCCAGAATAAGAAATAACTTAATCTTTCTATCCATTCTTCCAGAATTTTAAAGTTGGGAAGGATTCGATAGAAACACCTTCAACCTATATAATATTTAAATATTTATTTCACTTCGTTTGCAGTAGCATCGCATTTGGCAATGATAATATTTGGATTGACTTATAATTTCTTAGCTAATGTTTCATAAATTGGAGCTAATTATTTGCAATGACCACACCAAGGAGCATAAAATTCAACCAAAACATCTTTATCATTATTAATGACTAAATCTTTGAAGTTCTTTCCAACAACAATTTTAACAGGTTCATCATTACTTGATGGAATCTCTTCAGACTTCATATATCTTCCCAAATTGCCATCAAAGAAATTTGTTAAAAAGGTTCTTAGCGTATCAACGGTGATACTTTCTTCAAATCTATATTTAGCATTTCCTCCTAATTAATCAAAAATCATAATATTTGGAACATTGACAGTACTAGCTCCAACATATTCAGCTAATCTATGGAATAATCCTGAACCATCATTTGGTTTAGAAAAGGAGAATTTAATTCTATCTTTAAATGCACCAGCTACTTAAGCAAAAACATCATAAGCTGCAGCACCGGCATCAGAATCATCTGTGAATAAAAGTACAGCATTATTTCTTTATTAGAAAATAATGTTAATTGCTTTATCATTGAATGGTAATAAAACTGGATTTCCATGAGCATTTATAAATTATTCTAGAGTTTCATTTGTGATTGCACCATCTAAATCATTTCTTTTTTCATCAAATGATTTGAAAAGAACAATCTTTCCTTAAACATTATATTTTTCTGTAGCTTCAGCATTTACAATATGTGCAAATGTAACTTTGTCATTAGATTATGCTACTGCTTTGAATGTCTAGAAATCATTATCATCTTCTGAATTTCCAAAGAATACAATTATTGGAGATGATGATACTCTTTCCAAGAATTTCTCCAAATCTTAAACTGAGTTTAATTCATTTGATGGAGGACCTGATTTTTTATTGATCCAAGCTACAATATCAGTTTATGTTCTTCCTCCTTCATAGTCTATTGCTTAACCATTAATAAAGAATTTTAATGTTGGATATCCTTAAATGCTGAATTTTTCAGCAATTGATGATTCAGCTGTGGCATCAACTTTTGCTAATGGCACATAGTTATCACCTCCTTACTTTTTCAATTCGGCTGCTGCTGCAGAATATTCAGGTGCTAATTTCTTACTAACATATTAAATATATAAGCCTATACCAATGTCCACACCAGGGTGCATAAAATTCAACCAAAATAAATTTGAATGCGTCAATTGCTTCTTAAAAAGTATCTGTTGTCAAAACTAACACATTCTCTTCTTCTTAAAATGCGCCCGACGATGTTGCCAAGAGTAAGCTGATGAATATAAGTGCTTTCATAAATATGGGAATCTTTTTTTAATTTAAAAATTTATCAATGACTTAATTCAAATACAACGATTTAAGCAAAATTATTGAATTATTTGTTTCAATATTATTGATTCTTACAATTATAAACAATATTTATTTTTTTTTTAAATTGTTACCATTTTTTTAAATCAATACCCCTCTTCTTCGTTTATTTAATTTATCATAAATTTAAGAATGCATTTTTAAATATAAATTATCCTTGTCTCATTAAAGATATCATACCTTTACAAGAGTTAGAATAATGCAAATAAGAAATAAAGGATCAATTTATTAGATATTAGATAATTTAATGTAAGTATTATTTCATGCCTTTTCTAATTATCCTGCTTTTCATAAGATAAACGACCGAATTAAATTAAGGGTTAAATATAGGAAGTTTTGGAGTAAATAAAGTTTGAAGGGGATAAATGAGATAAGTAATACAATTTTAATAAATTATATTTTATATTATCCTTAAAGGTTATGTTATTGTATAATTGTATATAGGAAAAATGTTGATTCGAATTATGAACAGAACTCAATAATGTCAGAATAAATTTTTATGGATCAAAATGTAAAATAAGAAGGAAACCTTTGGTGAAATAGCTCTCTCCTTAAATAAACCTTGATTTGCTACAATTCAAGCTAATCTTCTTAAGTTATTCTTTGTAGTCCCAGGACAATTATGCAAAAACGACGAATTTAATAGATTGATCATAGCTTACTTGATGTAAAAAGAATTAAATTTGAAGACAAATGCTTTAGCTACTATATTTCCAAAATTATCTTAAAATCTTTAATCCGTTTAGCTTATCTGTTTTAAATTTAATCTTTCCAAAAAATCATTGCCTTTATAAATAAGGAGAATTTCTAGTGAGTTTTATATTCTTTCAGATGGTGAAGTTATACTTGAGTAGATATGCAAAAATTCGACTTAAATTTTTGGGCCAATCCTCATTTTAACTCCTGTAGTCTTTTATGGAGTATAAAATTTATTAAAAAATTAACCTTATGATAATTCAGCTATTTGTATAACTTAAAAGGTCACATTTTATAAATTTACTTATTAATCTTTTTTATAACTTGGAGATCATTATAGTAAATAAGCTTTATTTTCAGCTGAAAGAACTTGTAGAAGAGCACCTAAAATTCAAACTCTATAATTAATTTACAAGTAAGCAATTCTATTTCTGATGTATTGAGATTAGCACAATGGAACAAGATGAATAGAACAAATAAAATCCTTAAAAATAAAGAACAATTAAATCGAGTGGAAAACATTAAGGGAAATTTCGAAAACCTATAACTCATATTATTTAAAATTAAATAACTTTTAGCAATCCAGTTTTTTCTGATTTAGATGCTGAAAAGTTTAAATAGATAAAAAGATTTAAATTTAGCATATCAAATAAGCTGATCTTAAAAAGTAATATATTACATATAATTTTTAGGTAGAATCTGTAATTTGCAATTAAGAACTACTTTAAACATAATTTGCAATTAAGAACTACTTTAAACATTGAAATCCCTTCTATGTTAGACTCAATAAAAAAAGGAAAATGCAAAATGCTTAAGTTTTTGCATCAGTAAAAGAAAACATAGCAAATTAAAAATCCATGTATTCCTATCCAGCAGCTACACAAATCACATTTAAAGAAAAGTAGATTTTGAATTTCTATTGTAATATAATCATAACAAAGATATTCTTAATTCATAAAGATGATTTGATATTTTGATTAAATTGTCTATATAGTGCAGAGTTTTTTTATCTTGAAGTATTGTATTTTTTTTTTATTATCTTTCTGTTAATCTTTGTTATTCTAGATTTAGTGATATTTCTTTAACAATTTTTTATTGAGTACACTTTTCACTTCGAATTCTACCCTTATTCAATGACTTATTTTTTATTACACTTATAATTGTCTAAGATTAATCGTTTAATTTAGATTAAACTAGTCTCAACTTTTTCTATTTTGAGTAGATAATCTTAAAAGTTTTATCTGATTTCTTATCAGTTAGAATCTCCTTCCTCTGTAAGATTTGATCAAAAATTTTATACAGGCAACATAGGTACTTTTCAATCTAATGATTTAATTATATAATTTTCATTTAGTTATTTATTTCATTCTATATTTTGAAAGATCCAAGCTTTGCATAAGGTCATATGATTTAAAATGTGTTGATTTTACATCTACAACATTCAAATCCTCATTTTCACTGTGTTTTGTCTTTATCAAAACTTAAATGCATAAGATATTTTTGACTCACAATATAAAATTTAATATAAAAGAAATAGAAATTCAATAATATTTATTTTAAAATAGAAATGGAATGTAAAAAAGATTTGTACGATTTGTTAGCCTCTTCAAAAGATGTGGACTAATCAATATATAAGATGACAATTGAGATGTTGACAAAAGAAAACATTTCAGATTGTTTAAAATTTCTATCAGATGATGAAAATCTAATACTTTGNAATTTTTGGGCCAATCCTCATTTTAACTCCTGTAGTCTTTTATGGAGTATAAAATTTATTAAAAAATTAACCTTATGATAATTCAGCTATTTGTATAACTTAAAAGGTCACATTTTATAAATTTACTTATTAATCTTTTTTATAACTTGGAGATCATTATAGTAAATAAGCTTTATTTTCAGCTGAAAGAACTTGTAGAAGAGCACCTAAAATTCAAACTCTATAATTAATTTACAAGTAAGCAATTCTATTTCTGATGTATTGAGATTAGCACAATGGAACAAGATGAATAGAACAAATAAAATCCTTAAAAATAAAGAACAATTAAATCGAGTGGAAAACATTAAGGGAAATTTCGAAAACCTATAACTCATATTATTTAAAATTAAATAACTTTTAGCAATCCAGTTTTTTCTGATTTAGATGCTGAAAAGTTTAAATAGATAAAAAGATTTAAATTTAGCATATCAAATAAGCTGATCTTAAAAAGTAATATATTACATATAATTTTTAGGTAGAATCTGTAATTTGCAATTAAGAACTACTTTAAACATAATTTGCAATTAAGAACTACTTTAAACATTGAAATCCCTTCTATGTTAGACTCAATAAAAAAAGGAAAATGCAAAATGCTTAAGTTTTTGCATCAGTAAAAGAAAACATAGCAAATTAAAAATCCATGTATTCCTATCCAGCAGCTACACAAATCACATTTAAAGAAAAGTAGATTTTGAATTTCTATTGTAATATAATCATAACAAAGATATTCTTAATTCATAAAGATGATTTGATATTTTGATTAAATTGTCTATATAGTGCAGAGTTTTTTTATCTTGAAGTATTGTATTTTTTTTTTATTATCTTTCTGTTAATCTTTGTTATTCTAGATTTAGTGATATTTCTTTAACAATTTTTTATTGAGTACACTTTTCACTTCGAATTCTACCCTTATTCAATGACTTATTTTTTATTACACTTATAATTGTCTAAGATTAATCGTTTAATTTAGATTAAACTAGTCTCAACTTTTTCTATTTTGAGTAGATAATCTTAAAAGTTTTATCTGATTTCTTATCAGTTAGAATCTCCTTCCTCTGTAAGATTTGATCAAAAATTTTATACAGGCAACATAGGTACTTTTCAATCTAATGATTTAATTATATAATTTTCATTTAGTTATTTATTTCATTCTATATTTTGAAAGATCCAAGCTTTGCATAAGGTCATATGATTTAAAATGTGTTGATTTTACATCTACAACATTCAAATCCTCATTTTCACTGTGTTTTGTCTTTATCAAAACTTAAATGCATAAGATATTTTTGACTCACAATATAAAATTTAATATAAAAGAAATAGAAATTCAATAATATTTATTTTAAAATAGAAATGGAATGTAAAAAAGATTTGTACGATTTGTTAGCCTCTTCAAAAGATGTGGACTAATCAATATATAAGATGACAATTGAGATGTTGACAAAAGAAAACATTTCAGATTGTTTAAAATTTCTATCAGATGATGAAAATCTAATACTTTGTTTATAGTCCATTTTAAAAGCAAAAATTAATAAAAATATCGATGAAGAAGAGGTTATGAAAAATAATTTAATGAAAATGGTGAATATTCTAAAATAACTTAAAAATCATGACTTTAATCATAAAAATTATTCTGAAGATTTTTATGAAAAATTTAGAAAAGATTTAATAAAAAAAATATCAAAAGATGATTAAATAGTCTAATTATTGAAATTTTTGGTTCAACTTACAACTATTGATGAAACATTCATTTAATGTGGATCAAATGGACTTAATTTATTGGTAGGTTTGAAAATTGATTTGAAAAACCATTACTTTGAGGACATTAGGATTAAGAATTGTAGTTTGATAGGTGCGGATTTTTGTGGATGTAATTTTAGTGGATCAGAAATTGAAAATGTTGATATTAGTGGAGTAAATCTAAATGGAGCTCTACTGTTTAATTGTAAGTGGAGGAATATAAAAATACAAGAACTAAATAAATTAAATGGTCATACTAAGCC